TAATTTTTACAGCTGGGAAAAAATGCTTCCACTAGTGAAATACTCCATTTTAAAATGAGATAAAATGAAAAATAGGATTTTAAATTTAAGAGCCAATCTTTCAGATTCAAATATTTTTTAGATAAAGGTATACATAAGCCTGTCTGGCAAAAATGCACCATTATGCAGAAAACAGACTAACTAGGTCTCTTTCTTGTTACTTGAACTCTGCATAAAATACAGACGTCTTTCAGGCATATTAAGCTCCGTTTCTCAACTGGCCTGGAAAGAATTTGAGGGCAGGAATTACTTCCTGTGCTTAGTATTTAACTATAGGGGCAGAATAAATAATTGATTCTGCAAACATTTTGCAACAGTAATTCTGGTTGATGAATGAGGGGCTCCATTAACATGAAAAAGTGTCAGTTTTGAAAATACAATACTTAATACATAGTACAAAATTCAGAAAGCCCAAAGGAGAGAACTTTATTTTGTTTTTTTGAGATGGAGTCCCACTCTTGACACCCAGGCTGGAGTGCAGTGGCACCATCTCAGCTCACTGGAACTCCACCTCCCGGGTCCCAGGTCCAAGCAATTCTCCTGCCTCAGCCTCCCAAGTAGCTGGGACTACAGGCTCCCCACCACCACGCCTGGCTAATTTTTGTATTTTCAGTAGAGATGGGGTTTCCCCATGTTGCCCAGGCTGGTCTCTAAGTCCTGACTTTAAGTGATCCACCCGCCTCGGCCTCCCAAAGTGCTGGGATTACAGGCATGAGCCACGGCGCCCGGCAGGTAACTTATTTTTTTAATGTATACCTTTTGTTCCCTTTGAATTCTACCATGTGCATGAATTAACCTATTTAACATGGAACAGCCAGTCCAAATGTATATACCTCTTTAAAATTGATCAGTAGCTACTCTGACTTGCCTAAAAACGTACCAGTGCACCTGCTCACCTGCCCCGTTGGTGGGTGCCTGTTTCCCCGGCCCCTCCCTTTGGCTAACAGCGCACCATGGAACCACTTCACGCCCTCCTTGTCGGTGCCCAGGCACGGTGATGGCGCAGCCCCTCCCTGTTTAAACGGCACGGGACTCTCTTTGTTGCAGGCCAGACGGGCGCAGGGAACAACTGGGCGAAGGGGCACTACACGGAGGGCGCGGAGCTGGTGGACGCGGTGCTGGACGTGGTGCGGAAGGAGTGCGAGCACTGTGACTGCCTGCAGGGCTTCCAGCTCACGCACTCGCTGGGCGGCGGCACGGGCTCGGGCATGGGCACGCTGCTCATCAGCAAGATCCGCGAGGAGTTCCCGGACCGCATCATGAACACCTTCAGCGTCATGCCCTCGCCCAAGGTGTCGGACACGGTGGTGGAGCCCTACAACGCCACGCTGTCGGTGCACCAGCTGGTGGAGAACACGGACGAGACCTACTGCATCGACAACGAGGCGCTCTACGACATCTGCTTCCGCACCCTGAAGCTGACGACGCCCACCTACGGGGACCTCAACCACCTGGTGTCGGCCACCATGAGCGGGGTCACCACCTCGCTGCGCTTCCCGGGCCAGCTCAACGCCGACCTGCGCAAGCTGGCGGTGAACATGGTGCCCTTCCCGCGCCTGCACTTCTTCATGCCCGGCTTTGCGCCGCTCACCAGCCGCGGCAGCCAGCAGTACCGGGCCCTGACCGTGCCCGAGCTCACCCAGCAGATGTTCGACGCCAGGAACATGATGGCAGCCTGCGACCCGCGCCACGGCCGCTACCTGACCGTGGCCACCGTGTTCCGCGGGCCCATGTCCATGAAGGAGGTGGACGAGCAGATGCTGGCCATCCAGAGCAAGAACAGCAGCTACTTCGTGGAGTGGATCCCCAACAACGTGAAGGTGGCCGTGTGCGACATCCCGCCCCGCGGCCTGAAGATGGCCTCCACCTTCATCGGGAACAGCACGGCCATCCAGGAGCTGTTCAAGCGCATCTCCGAGCAGTTCTCAGCCATGTTCCGGCGCAAGGCCTTCCTGCACTGGTTCACGGGCGAGGGCATGGATGAGATGGAGTTCACCGAGGCCGAGAGCAACATGAACGACCTGGTATCCGAGTACCAGCAGTACCAGGACGCCACCGCCAATGACGGGGAGGAAGCTTTTGAGGATGAAGAAGAGGAGATAGACGGATAGCCGGAATAGAGGAGCCGCCCCAGCTCAGATCCTTCAACACGCAAGTTCCTTCTTGAACCCTGGTGCCTCCTACCCCATGGCCCTGAGTGGTGCACTGGTCCGTTGTGTTGGTGTCGGCCCCTCACAAATGCAGCCAAGTCATGTAATTAGTCATCTGGAACAAAGACAATACTTTAAAATAGCAGAGAATTACTTGCGGGTTCTACCCAGTCAGAAGATCACACCATGGAGACTTTCTACTAGAGGACTTGAAAGAGAACTGAGGGGCCACGAAATAAACTTCACCTTCCATTAAGTGTTCAAGCATGTCTGAGAATTAGCAGGGGAGTTAGAAACAGTCTTTTTCATCCTTTGTGATGAAGCCTGAAGTTGTGCCGTGTTGCCTTATATGAATATGCAGTATGGGACTTTGAAATAATTGATTCATAATAAATTACTAAACGTGTGTCTTCATCTCTCTAGCCATGTGCATAAATGACGTAAGCTACTTTGTATGGTTACATTGGCTACTCGGGTCACTGGTCTCTCCCTGGGGTGAACTCCTCCCCACTTCACGAAAACAACGGAGGAAAGGGCTGTTCTTTAAATGGAGGCTTTCAGCGGGGCGGCCAAAACTGTTGATAGCTGGAAGGCAATGTAGCACAAACAAAAGCCCCTCTTCCCATCCGCAGCCACCTTTTAGATGCCCACAGAATCCCAAGTCAGGTCCTGGGCTAGGGTTCCCCAACCTTCTAGCCAGAGGAGCCACAGGAAAGGCCTTTTGGCCTCCAGACAAAGCCAGGGGAGCTGGGTGGGAGCTGGGGTACCAACAGCCAGCCCTGCGTGGAAGGGATGGGCCCTTTTCTGCTGTGGCCCATCACACTTGATGGCTTCTACCACCGGCCACGCCTTTGGAGGTTCCAAAGACGGACTCCATGGGGCACGCATGGTAGGTAGCCCCGCTAGTGCCTGGTACAGACCTCACTGTTGACAATATTTCTGCTTTACTTCTTCCTGCCCTCTTGAAGCTGTGAACATGGGACTTGCTATGAGCACAGCATGTCACCCCCGGGTGGAAGCGTCAGTGCCAGTGCCAGCCCCCCTGCTTTGCCTCCCATGTGGGCAGCCCCCCCAATCCCTCCTGTCCACCCGTCTGGGTTCCTGAGTGACCATCCTGGGCAGAGCCCACTCTGACCTGTGTTGGACAGGGAATGAGAGACAAAGCTTTGTCATTCAGGGCCACTGAGGGTTAGGGTGCCCCACAGTACAACCACAACACCCGTGGTCTGTGATCCCAGGCCTTACATTCACTAGCAATTTTGTTAAGCTCCAGCCTTGGGAAGATGGAAACTTCATCACTAAACACAGCAGCATGACTTGAGGTGATTACAGATCATTTTGCAGAAATCTGAACTATTCTGAGACCACAGTAAAAATAAATCTTACCAGCTCACCACTACATCTGTCCTGAAAACATGTTCCGTGTGACCATGGAGAGGAAAGATCCATGCGTGAGCAGGCCCCACATGGTGGTGGCACAGGTAGCCACGGCTCCTCCTAGCACAGAGGGCCACTTGCGCAGGCTGAGCAGCGGCTCTAGGCCACGCTGGCAGCCGTCCAGGGCCCAGAGCTTAAGGTGGCTCACCTCACCCAGAAACACGGGTGACACAGTGCTGTCTGGCTTTGTCACTCTTACTGTATCAAGCCTGACACACAGTGGGCCCCACTCTCATCCCCTGGGAGGACTCACAGCCAAGGCCTGTGAGAGGGCAGCCCACGCTGGCTCCACGTCTTGCAGTGGTTGGGTAAGGAGTAGAGAGTGTCTCCTACCTAATTGTCTACTGCCTGTGTGGTGAAAAGCACACCCGGCACCCTCACAACTGTGTGAGCCTCAGCCTGGAAACCATGCTTCATTGGGTACCTCCCAAAAACACCCCATGAGGAAAGGAAGTGGCCAGTGTGGCATGCCTGCAGGTGCAGAGGTCAAGCAGGGGATACCTGTTCTCCTGGCATGCTGAGCTATGGAGTCCAAACAGCTGCTTCCATGGCCTGCCAGGGGACAGGTGGGCATTTCAGGATGCTGGAAAGTAGCCATGGATGGAGCATGCATGGCCTGGGGCCATGGCAGGGATGCCACTAGATTGTGTTAATTCTAAAGCCACTGTTCTGACATCAACACCACACAAGGCAAGCTGGAGTAATGTTAAAAAGCTGGAGTGCTGTTAAAATAGACTGCTAAAAATGTAAATAGTTAAAAATGCCAGTGTCTCCTCCATGTCCAAATAGCAGCAATTGATAGAAGACTTAGCAAATCTTCCTCATGCCATCTTTTTTTAGGAATTATGATAATAGGTTTGCAACACTACAGACTCACTTTTCTGGAAGCACATAACCAATAACTCCCTTCTACTAGACAATAGGAGCAGGTTACCATTCAGTCCACTCCTGAGATGTCCCCAGAGAGCCAGGGCCCAGGGGACTCCAGCTTAGTTCCACTTTACCTTCTCTGAAATCCAGGTGACGGCTCAGGTCAGCCTGCCAGGCCTGCTACAGTTATGCGTTAACTTCTAGACCCAGGAGGTGTGGCCAACATCTGGCCATGACTGGCCTCTTGAGGACTGCACTGGGTGGTTATTGTGAATTCAGGCCAGGACCAACCCCTCAGGACCCATGTACTTTATATCCAGAGCTCAGTGCATCTTTGCAGGACATATAACTCTAGAAGGTTCCAACCTCCTGTGGGAGCTGATGAGAACCAGCGAGGCTGAGATTTTGAAGGACTCTCCTCTAAAAAGCAAGAGAATTTAATTTCTTGCCATTATGTTTTCTAAAAATATCCAGAGCATGAACAGGGGTCCTTTATGTGTTCTGAAACAAGGTACAGTGTGGACATTTTATTATGTAAAGAAGCCATATTTACATAATACATTCATATTTTTAAGTATGTTACAGCTCCTGTAGAAAACCATTCCATTAAGACAGCAACAGGTGATCTGGATTCAATCTTTAAAATATTAAGTCAAATTAAAATGTTCTTATCAGGACTCCAATTTAATTTCACAGCCCATCTGCATAGGGGAACTGAGGAAAAACAGGAATGAAGAGTGGGCGACAAAGAGAAAGCATCTTCCCACACGCTAAGAGTCCAGTGCAACGATCCCTGCCGCACGGTCAGCCGACCCCACTTGGTGCCCCAGGGTCCAGCCTCGGCCACTCTGGGCTCAAGCTTTCCAGCCCATCTGGGAGCCCAATGAGGCTGTGGGACAGTGTGCATTTCCCTCAAGGCCTCCGGAAAGTCACCTGCCACCCACTGTGACCTCCGAGGCTGAAAGGACTAAGGACTCCTCTCCCCATCATTTCAGCTGGGCCAGTGGCTGGCTGAAGTCAGCGCAGCATTTCCATTCTTCTGAAGGCCACAGCCGAAATAATGCACCAGCTGAAACCACAGCGGACAGACTGAGACGGCCTCCTTCTGGGTGTCTAGTTGGCAACTTTCTCACCCGGGGGCTCCTCTTTCTCCTTTTCCCGCTCCTTGTTCCAGTCCTTAAGGCCTTCTGGAAGCGAGGTGTCCTCGTCCAAGCTGCCAGTGCCTTCCACAAATTCTTCATAGGTAGATTTTTCCGCAAATGGTCTGGGGCCCAAAAGTTCAACCATATCATTCTTATCTAATACTTCTTTTTCTAACAACAGAAGAGCAACCTGAAATATGAACAATTTCCATTAAATACAGTTACTCAGCAAAGTCTATTCAGAAATATTAATTTATTAAAATGAGTGACCCCATTCCACAAAAGGATTTAAGACCAAAAAGGGATTTAAAATATATATAAGGTTGCATAGTTTTAGAGTAAGATGTGCAAAATATCAAAGCAACCCATGTCCATCTGTAAGGGACACATTTCCATACTAGACACATTTCCATACATCTGCACAATAAACGCTGACCATCTATAATAAAGGAGGAAGCTGGCCGGGCGCGGTGGCTCGTGCCTGTAATCCCAGCACTTTGGGAGGCCGAGGCGGGCAGATCACAAGATCAAGACTATCCTGCCGAACATGGTGAAACCCTGTCTCTACTAAAAATACAAAAAAGTAGCTGGGCGTGGTGGCGCACACCTGTAGTCCCAGCTACTTGGGAGGATGAGGCAGGAGGATCACTTGAACCCGGGAGGCGGAGGTTGTAGTGAGCCAAGATTGCACCACTGCACTCCAGCCTAGCGACAGAGCAAGACTCCTCTCACAAAAAAAAAAAAAAAAAGGAGGAAGCTGTGCATGTTCTGTAAACATCTCAAAGACACACTCTTCAATTAAAAAAACAAAGATGTTCAGTGTGCGCAGCATCTTACGTTTGCTTTTCGGAGGCAACAGGAATGTATCTTTTTATGTGCGTTAAAGCACAATAGGCAGCCAGGCACGGTGGCTCACACCTGTAATCCCAGCATTTTGGGAGGCCGAGGTGGGTGGATCACCTGAGGTCAGGAGTTCGAAACCAGCGTGGCCAAAATGGCGAAACCGTGTCTACTCAAAATACAAAAAAATAACCAGGCGGTGGTGGGTGCCTGTAAACCCGGCTACTTGAGGCAGGAGAATGGCTTGAACCCGGGAGTCAAAGGTTGAGTGAGCCAAGATCACGCCATTGCACTCCAGCCTGGGCAACAGAGCAAGACTCAGTCTCAAAAAACAAAAACAAAAACCACAAAAACCAGACTAGGCAGGAGCCATTAGCTTAGGGCTTTTTCTGTACCCAGAACCCATCCATACACAAACAAACAAACTGGAACTTAACCTAGACGCATTCTTTGTAACTAATTTCAAATTAAGCTTCTACCAATCATGAACAGCCAACCAGCCAGCTAGTGGCAGAACTTGGGACCATGCATTGGACCACACAGATAAGGCAAACGCCCAGCAGCAGCCACTCAAGCAGTCATGCGCCGCTAACGATGTTTCAGTCAACGATGGGACAGTGGTCCCATGAGATTATAACACCTTATTTTTACTGTACCTTTTCTATGTTTAGATGTGTTTAAATACATTGTGTTACAATGGCCTGAAGCATTCAGTACAGTCACATGCGAGCGGGTCTGCAGCCTTGGAGCAATAGGCCGTACCACAGAGCCTAGGGGTATAGCAGGTGTAGTGCACTCTGATGCCTGCATGGTGACAAAATCAACTAACAGCAAACTCCTCAGACCGTATCCCCATCCTTAAGCAACACGTGACTGCAGTTCCTTTCCTTTGCTTCTATGCTCAGCCTATAAAAGCTTGCTGCTCATGCTGCCAGAGCAGAGCTCTGAACTTCTAATTCTGAGGGCTGCCCGATTCCCAAACTGTTCTTTGCTCAAATAAACTTGTTTGTTAAATTTATTTTGTCAAAAGTTTCTTTTAAACGGTACATAAAAAAATATATGGCCAGGCGCAGTGACTCACACCTGTCATCCCAGCTCTTTGGGGCAGCGGATCACCTGAGGTCAGGAGTTCGAGACCAGCCTGCCCAACATGGTGAAACCCTGTCTCTACTAAAAATACAAAAATTAGCCGGGCGTGGTGGCACCTGCCCTTAATCCCAGCTGCTCGGGAGGCTGAGGCAGGAGAATTGCTTGAACCCAGGAGGCGGAGGTTGCAGTGAGCCAAGATGGAGGCACTGCACTCCAGCCTGGGCAACAGAGGGAAAGTCCGTCTAACACACACACACACACACACACACACACACACACAGGCAGAGATACAAAATGAAGGCAGGAAGGTTAATGTGACAATAGTTTACTTTGAAGTTCTATTCATTTGTTATAGCTGCACCATACATTTGACACTACATGTTTTACAGGCTACAGAAAAGGGTCCTCTACTGGATTACACACACGGAGGTGCGATGGTATCATGAGAGGAGGGAACAGTGTTTGTTAGATCATCTGCCTAGTGTAAAGAAAATTAAGCAGTTTAAATTATAAGCTCATCTCATAAAATAACATTTCTTTTTTTCTTTTTTGAGACAGTCTCACTCTGTCTCCTGGGCTGGAGTGCAATGGTGCAATGTTGGCTCACTGCAACCTCCGCCTCCCAGGTTCAAGCAATTCTCTTGCCTTAGCCTCCCAAGTAGCTGGGATTATAGGCATCCACCACCATGCTTGGCTTATTTTTTGTATTTTTAGTAGAGACGGGGTTTCACCACGTTGGCCAGGCTGTTCTCGAACTCCTACCTCAGGTGATCCCGCTGCCTCAGCCCCTCAAAGTGCTGGGATTACAGGTGTGGACTTATTTCTTGAGATAACCCCTTACTTTGAAATTTAATCTATCTGTAGTTTGCAATAAATGTTATGTTTTTAAAGATATAAAATTATGAAAGTTTTCTTATCTTTTCAGTTTTAAAAAATATTATAAAATGCTTCAAATAGGTATAAAACTGGAAAGAATGGATAATCCCTATGTAACCACTATCAACAGTGATCAATTTAGAAACATTCTTGTTTCAACTGTCTAGATTATTTTTAAGAAAATCCCAGATGTCATATCATTTTATCCATATATATATATATATATTTTTTTTTTTTAATCTACATCTCTAAAAGGTTAGGATTGTTTACAAAACCAGAATACTATAATGCTTTTTTTTTTTTTTTTTTTTTTTTGAGACGGAGTCTCGCGCTGTCACCCAGGCTGGAGTGCAGTGGCCGGATCTCAGCTCACTGCAAGCTCCGCCTCCCGGGTTCACGCCATTCTCCTGCCTCCGCCTCCCGAGTAGCTGGGACTACAGGCGTCCGCCACCTCGGCCGGCTAGTTTTTTGTATTTTTTAGTAGAGACGGGGTTTCACCGTGTTAACCAGGATGGTCTCGATCTCCTGACCTCGTGATCCGCCCGTCTCGGCCTCCCAAAGTGCTGGGATTACAGGCTTGAGCCACCGCGCCCGGCCAATGCTCTGATTTTTAAAATATATTGTCTGCATATATGTAAGGAAAAAAAAAGCTTTAGGATTCCTTCTTAGACAATTTTTAATTCTCAATTTGCTTATACACACACACACATACACACACCATAGTTGTGGGTGATCACTTAAATTTCAATAATTTAATCCAATATATCAAAAACATATATATACACACATATATGTGTGTGTGTATATATGTGTATATATATATTTTTCCCCTGAAACAGGGTCTCACTGGTCACCCAGGCTGGAACGCAGTGGCGTGATCACAGCTCACTGTAGCCTCTAGCCTCAAGTTCCTGGACTCAGGTGATCCTCCCACCTCAGCCTCCAAGTGGCTGGGATTACAGGTACATGCCACCATACCAGGCTCATTTTTAATATTTTTAGTAGAGATGGGGTTTCACCATGTTGCCCAGGCTAGTCTCCAATTCCTGGGCTCAACTGATCCACCCACCTCAGCCTCCCAAAGTGCTGGGACTATAGACATGTGCCACAGTGCCTGGCCAAAATATTATTTCAACATGTGATGATACAAAACATCATCGAGGTTTTTTTACATTCCTTTCTTCATGCTGCATCTTCAGTAACCAGCATGCACCTGACACATAACAGGTCTCGATTCGCAGTGGCCACCACGTGCTCAGCAGCCCTCTGCAGCTGCCTAGCAGGGCCGCACAGGCTCAAGGAGAGGGGAACCACCAGGGCTCTGCAGGCAGGACACCTGGGTCAGACCCTGGCTCTGCCGCTTACCCACTGTATGACCCTAAGCAAAGCTACTGATCTCTCTCCGTAACAGCTTCTTCACCTGAAACTGAGGTAAGAGGTCACTAATGTTAGCCACCTCATGAGGTCACAGGGTTTTCAGAAAGGAAGCCTCAGGCAGTGCCTGGTACACAGGTGCTGGGTGAATGCTGGCAAGCCCTCAGGTGCGCACTCCATGCCCTTGCAGAGTCTGCCAGGTAATGGTTTCAGGAGCACAGGCCCCAGCCCCTCTCTTCTCCATAGCCTCCCTACCTCCTGGCTGGCTCTGCAGTATTCTGCACGTGGCTCATTTTCTCTGATGGACCAGAAAGTACTTCAAAACTTAGTGTTTCAAGAGCCTCACCATGCTAACCCAATTCTCCTTTCAATAAACAGACCTTGGTTGTGCAGCGTGAGTTGTGTGAGTACAGGCACTGGGACTGTGGATGGGCAGGATAACTGGAGAGATTCTCACAGCACTGCAGACCTCCTCAGTGCCTCACAGAGAGCTCATCTGCACCGGGCTCTTCTGCCTTCCTGTCTTTCACAGCTCAACACCTGGCTATCTGGCAACCCCGACCCCTGTTCGTATTCCGACTTCAAATGCGCCTTGCTCAAATTCTCTTGGGTGTTGAGACCAAACCCTTTATCACTCCCTTTCCTCCCCGTGCCCAGGGATGCCTTGGAGTCATTCTCAGGCTTTCTTCTCTTTCGTTCTCTATGAAGTCCTGGTTTTCCAGCTCTGCCTTTGCCTTTTTATTTCCATGACCATCCCTGCAGGCACCACCTGAGGAGTGTTGAGATGCTCCGCTGCTTCCAAGCTGGTCTGGTCTGTGTTCCTGTTCCAGTATAGCTGGCATGCTGCCACCACACTCTCCTGAAATTATCTTTCATCATTCTGCTCAAGATTCTTTAAGGACTAATTAAGAACTACTATAAAATAAGGAGGCTGGGTTAGATCTTTTTTTTTTTTTTTTTTTTTTTTTTTGGAGATGGAGTTTCGCTCTGTCGCCCAGGCTGGAGTGCAGTGGCGCGATCTCGGCTCACTGCAAGCTCCGCCTCCCAGGTTCATGCCATTCTCCTGCCTCAACCTCCCGAATAGCTGCGACTACAGGCACCCGCCACCACGCCCGGCTAATTTTTTTTTTGCATTTTTAGTAGAGATGGGGTTTTACCGTGTTAGCCAAGATGGTCTCGATCTCCTGACCTCGTGATCTGCCCGCCTCGGCCTCCCAAAGTGCTGGGATTACAGGCGTGAGCCACTGCGCCCAGCGATCATTTTTAAGATCACTTCTACTTCTAAAGCTGTATGCCTCAGCTTTCTACCTAGCTCTGGAGGGCCTGGGACTTGTGAGAGGAAAATAAAATCTAGGGACTCTAAACTCATTATGCCAAGGGGAAAAGTTAAGCTTGGAAACTGCACAAGGACTGCCTTCCTTTTTGTTCTTAAAGAGATGGTTGCAAAGACAGAACCATTTATCTCCCCAGGTGTCCTCCCCCACTCATTGCTCGTAAGGAAATTCCTTGTGGGCCCTAAAACCTTTACCCTGAAACAAAGTTCTGCTGGACCTCACCCTGACAATGTAAGTTAACAGCTTATCTCACAGGAACAGACAAACACCAGACCAGAAGTCAACCCTCTGATAACCTGAGACAAATGCGTATTTGACTCCTTCTTCTACTCTATGTTTACTTTATTGCATGTAAAATGCGGATTTACTGAACAAAAGATGCATGCGTAACTGACATCCCTCTACCCCTCCTTTCACGTGTCACGTGGTTCAGTGAATGCAACCACTCACCTCACCGCCTACCCTCCCCTTTTTTCTCTTCCTCCTTCCCTTCCTGCCACTCTTTCCCGTTTAAATATTCAAGCCCTCAAAGCTCTCTATGGAAAAAGCAAAGGCCACAGATCCCACTGTAACTGGTGTTTCTTTTTCCCTGGGTATATCCTCAACTTTGACAAAACAAACCTCTAAGCTGACAGAGCTCTGTCTCAGCCCCTCTTGGGTCTACAGGGTCCACCACCCGCAACTGCAGCAGGCTCAGGGCTGCCCCCGGGCTCCACGCCGCACACTCCTCCTTCCCCTTCCTTCTGCTCTGTTACCTGCTCATCCTTCTGGGTACCTCGGCCCTATCTCCTACAGAGCCTTCCTGGACCCCTCTGCCCATGCTGGATTTTCCTTCCTCAAAGCCCTGCTGTATGCTTTCCGGCGTTTTGGGGATGCTGGCGCCCACTCATTTCACTGCACACTTTTGTAAACTGACAGCATGGATTCTTCTGCATCGCCTAACATAGCTTCTTGAAGACTTGCTGACTGAACAGCACAATCTTAGTGAAACTGCCTTTGCAAAATTATAACAGGAAGACAAATTTGGCATGGCTGACTGCCTCTTGCTTCTATCCTCACACACTCTACTCGCTCTTTCCCAGGTGTGGTCCAAATTAACTTCGGGAGGAATTTATAGTTTAAATGATAATAATACTTCCCCAAAACTAAACTGCCCTTGTAAAACTAATGAAAGGCCACCAAGTTAGGAGGATGAGAGGAGCCTGAATTCTACTAAGATGTAGGCATGGTTAAGTAATTACCAGCCATTATTCTGGAGGTCAGATTTGCAACTTCCCCAATTACTCCTGCAGATAATAACATCTCTATTGTAAAACTAAGGCTTGGCCTTTTGAGATAGCTTTTCAGCTTTTTGCATTTCTGACAACCAATGGCTCCACCTGGACTCACCAACTGGTCCTGTGCCCCCCTCCAGGAACTGACTCGCACAGGAGGACAGCTTCCACGCCCTATGACTTCACCTCCGCCCTGCCCCATTCAAACAGCATTCACCACTCCCTGGCCCTTACCCGCCAAACTGTTCTTGAAAAGCCCTGGTCTCCACGGAGACTGATTTGAGTAATAATAATAACTCCAGGCTGCCATTCGGTCAGCTCTGCATGAATTAAGCTCTTTCTCTACTGCAATTCCCCTGTCTTGAGAAACTGGCTGTACCTGGGCTGCAGGCAAAATGAATCTATTAGGTAGCTGTGTCAATCCCTTATAAAAGGCTTTTTCATTTGTGCTTTTCTCATTAGAGTACAGAATATTCAAAGTTTTTTTAAATTCTAATTTTTTTTCACCTGGACTCTGGAAAATTAAGAGGTTACCAAATGTGAGAAATCCACTGAGTTCAGAAAGGGTCCCTTCCTTTTGTAGGTGCTATCAAATGAGACACGACGACGACAAACACAATGCTTTCTCGTGGAAACTCAGGAGCAAGCCACAAGTAAGGTAATGTTCACGCACCAATTTCCTACTTATCAGTTCGGCTGCGTCTTTTACTTGCCCTTTCATCTTTCACTACCTATTTATTTTCGAGGTGAAAAACAATGGTAAACCAGGCAATCATGCTTCTCATTAGGAGTACTGTGAACTATCTGGTGAGGGAGTCCTGATTTGTTTACTTTGTGGTTACTGATAGACTTCATTAACCATTCAGTCATATTCCTAAGAGTCACAGGAGCCGGGACAGTGTCAACTTCTGTTCACCACCACACTGCAACCCCCCCCATGAAGACAGAGCAGACAATGAAACATCAGAATGAATGGACCTATGGGTGAGCCAGAGAGAGGCAATTCTGCAGTCTACAATCCAACCAAAAGAGTCCATCTATCACTTCAATCTTTTTTTGCAAAACTGTAAATAATTATTCCCACAACTGGCACCTACCTTCTCCACGTCGGCTTTCTTCTCTGTGAGAAGAGCTACTGTTCTTTTATAAGCATCATTAATAAGGATTCGTACTTCATCATCTATCAATCTTGCAGTGGCTTCACTGTAAGGTTTCTCCAATACCATGTCCCCCTGACGTGGGAGGTCAAAGGAGATTTGCCCAACCTTTTCATTCATGCCAAACTGAACAATCTGAAAAATACATGATTAGCGGTGGTTATATATGATTGCTGTTCAACCAGACAAAATCTGCACAGCAGCCCGAGCCAGCTAAAGTGCACAAGGGTGCTCTGTGTAGCCAGCAACAGCAGCACGGTGCTTTAAACTCACAACTAGAAACAGAGCCAGAAGCCCAGGCATAACACCCACAACAAAGTTAGAATGCAGATCCCAACAACTGTATGACATTACTACCTGGTTTCTTTTTTTTTTCTTTTTAGGCAGTCTTGGTCTGTCGCCCAGGTTGTAGTGCAGCAGCACCATCTTGGTTCATTGCAACCTCTACGTCCCGAGTTCAAGCAATTCTCGTGCCTCAGCCTCCCAAGTAGCTGGGATTATAGGCATCCGCCACCACTCCCGGCTAATTTTTCTATTTTTAGTAGAGATGGGTTTCCGTCATGTTGGCCAGGCTGGTCTTGAACTCCTAACCTCAGGTGATCTGCCCGCCTCGGCCTCCCAAAGTGCTGGGATTACAGGCGTGAGCCACCCTGCCCAGCCACTACCTGGTTTCTTTTTGTTTTTGTTTTGAGACAGGGTTTTGTTCTGTCGCCCAGGCTGGAATGCAGTGCATGATCATAGCTCACTGCAGCGTTGACCTCCTGGGCTCAAAATATCCTCCCACCTCAGCCTCCCAAAGTGCTGGGATTACAGGCGTGAGCCACCGAGCCTGGCCTGATATTACTATCTGTACAAGGGAAAGCAGAGAAGAAGCAAGATGCATCTGACAGACCTGAAGAAACAGAACCCCCAGCTGCCAACAGGTTCTTCCCAGGAAGGGTGGTATGCCACTCACGCTGCGAACACGTGAGACTGGAAGGACACCTGCATTTCCCCGTTCACCGAGTCCATGGGGCCCAGGGGACAGTCTGAAGAGGCTCATCCAGTGTGGACCCACGAGCCCCCAAAACTCCTCAGCACCACACAGGAGGAGCTTCTGCAAGTAAGACCCAAACTGACTGGAAAAAGAGAAGGCCCAGATACGAGTGGGATCAAAAATAGCCAGGGGTGCTCGAAGGGAGGAAACCACATTCCTAACACTTCACGAACACAGCCCGAAAAACTCCTGGACCTCCTCCCGCCTAAGAGAGCAGCAAAACAAATTTCATGTAAAAATAGGCAATATAAAAATCCCTTATAAAGTTATAAGAAAAAAATCAGCTGAATAATGTCTCCAGATAAGAAAAGTGGGATGAAAAGATGTGTCAATACTACAGAGGAAATTCATATCTTAGTACTTCAAAACAGGCTAAAAGAAATCAGGGAAATGACACATGATATGAAAGATCTACTTAAATCACAGCTAGAAAAGCTTCAATGAGGTGCTAGAAAAAAATACGTATCAAAGCCACCACACCCGGCCTGAAATAAACTTTAAATATTGTACTAAAAAAAGGTTTCTCAGGGCCGGGCGCAGTGGCTCACGCCTGTAATCCCAGCACTTTGGGAGGCTGAGGCAGGCAGATCACGAGGTCAGGAGATCGAGACCATCCTGGCTAACACAGTGAAACCCCTCCACTAAAAATACAAAAAAGTAGCTGGGCGTGGTGGCAGGCGCCTGTGGTCCCAGCTACTCAGGAGGCTGAGGCAGGAGAATGGCATGAACCCAAGAGGTGGGGCTTGCAGTGAGCCAAGATGGTGCCACTGCACTCCAGCCTGGGCAACAGAGCAAGACTCAGTCTCAAAAAAAAAGTTTCTAAGCCAAGCGCAGTGGCTCATGCCTGTAATCCCAGCACTTTTGAGAGGCGGAGGAGGGCGGATCACCTGAGGTCGGGAGTCCAAGACCAGCCTGACCAACATGGAGAAACCCCGTCTCTATTAAAAATACAAAACTAGCCGGGTATGGTGGCGCATGCCTGTAGTAACAGCTGCTCGAGAGGCTGAGGCAGGAGAATGGCTTGAACCTGGGAGGTGGAAGTTGCGGTGAGCCGAGATTGCACCACTGTACTCTAGCCTGAGCAACAAGAGCAAAACTCTGTATCAAAAAAAAAATTTAGCCAGGCATGGTGGCGTGTGCCTGTAATCCCAGCAACTTAGGAGGCTGAGGCAGGAGAATCGCTTGAACCCGGGAGGCCGAGGTTGCAGTGAGCCAAGATAGAGCCACTGCACTGCAGCCTGGGTGACAGAGGAAGACTGTGTCTCTAAAAAAAAAAAAGTTTCTCTTCATAAGTTTTAATTGCTTTAAACATGGACTTCTTTTAAGAGAGAATCCTTGCCTAAAAAGCCTAAAACAGTGAAGCAACAATAATATTGTTTCAGAGCCATTCATGGAATGTCAATTTCTCATGCAAATATGAACAAATGAGGAGGAAACGCCCTCCTTCATATACTCACTTGGGCATATGCACTCTGAGTTACTTTTCTCAAGTCATCTTGAGCACCAGTTGTAATTCTTCCAAAGAAGATTTCTTCAGAGACTCGACCACCTAAAGTCATACACATCCTATCCAAGAGCTGCTCTTTGGTATAGAGGTATTGTTCTTTTGGTAAATACTGAGCATAACCTAGTCCTTTGCCACGTGGGATGATGGATACCTGGTAAGTAGAAAACACAGTGTTGAAGATCCTACTACAGATGAAGACTTGATCAAAACACCTGTGTATAAACAGATGAACTCAGTGACTAAAAATAAGCACAACAGCCACACAGTCCATCAGCCTCAGTGGGATGTGATCTAGTAGCAGTGACTGCTCAGGAGGGATATTTTCTCTCAGGATAGTTTCACCTTAGATTTTTGTTGCTGTTTTTGTTTTTGAGATTGAGATTGAGTTGCTCTGTTGCCCAGGCTAGACTGCAGTGGCAGGATCTCAACTCACTGCAACCTCCACCTCCCAGGTTCAAGCAGTTCTTCTGCCTCAGCCCCTGAGTAGCTCAGATCACAGGTGCCCACCACCAGACCCAGTTAATTTTTGTATTTTTAGTAGAGAAGGGTTTCACCATGTTGGTCAGGCTGGTCTCGAACTCCTGACCTCGTGATCCTCCTGCCTCAGCCTCCCAAAGTGCTGGGATTACAGGCATGAGCCACTGTGCCCAGCTTCACCTTCGAGTTCTACGTGGCTTTTTTTTTTTTTTTTAAATAAAAACAGGGCCTCACTTTGCTACCCGGGATGGTCTTAAACTCCTGACTTCAAGCATTTCTCCCACCCTGACCTCCCAAAGTGCTAGGATTACAGGCATGTGCCACCATACCCAGCAAATCTTTTTTTTTTTTTTTTTTTTTTTTGAGACGGAGTCTTGCTCTGTCGCCCAGGCTGCAGTGCAGTGGCACAATCTCGGCTCATTGCAAGCTCTGCCTCCCGGGTTCACACCATTCTCCTGCCTCAGCCTCCCAAGTAGCTGGGACTATAGGCGCCCGCCACCATGCCTGGCTAATTGTTTTGTATTTTTAGTAGAGACGGGGTTTCATCGTGTTAGCCAGGATGTTCTCGATCTCCTGACCTTGTGATACGCCCACCTCAGCCTCCCAAAGTGCTGGGATTACAGGCGTGAGCCACCGCGCCCGGCCCAATTTCTTGTCTTTTTGTAAAACTCAATTGAAAGTATTCCATCTTGACATTCTGACAGTTCTGATGCTGTGCAAGCGCGCGGGCTTCCTTCAACTCTGCTGCCGGACGTGGCCACATCCTCCTTCAAAGGCAGGAGGTGCAGCCAGGATGCTCGGCGGCCTTTCCTTTCCAGTCCTCTTTCGCACATACGTAAATTCCTTTAATTTTTAAAAAATTCAGTTTATTGGCCGGGCGCGGTGGCTCACGCCTGTAATCCCAGCACTTTGGGAGGCCGAGGCAGGCAGATCACGAGGTCAGGAGATCGAGACCATCCTGGCGAACACGGTGAAACCCCGTCTCTACTAAAAATACAAAACAATTAGCCGGGCGTGGTGGTGGGCGCCTGTAGTCCCAGCTTCTAGGGAGGCTGAGGCAGGAGAATGGTGTGAACCCGGGAGGCGGTGGACTGACTTGCAGTGGGCGGAGATGGCACCAATACACTCCAGCCTGGGTGACAGAGCAAGACTCCGTCTCAAAAAAAAAAAAATTCAGTTTATTGAGAGATGACATATGTGGTTAAATGCACCCATGTGAAGTGTAGAGTTCAATGAGTTTTGACAAACATAATTGTCAAGCCACAATTAAGATACAGAATATTCTCATGCCCAGAAAGTTCCCTTGCACCCACTGGTAGAGTCTTTCTCTCCACACCCAACCTCAGACAACCACAGACATGCTTTCTGTCCCTATGGATTAGTTTAGCTTCCAGAACTGCAAATAAATGAAATCGTATGGCACATACTTCATTGTGTTTGGTCTCTTTCCCTGTTTTTGAGATCCATAGATACTGTTGTGTGTATTAATAGTCATTCATTTTTATTTTTACTGCTGTGTGGCACTCCACTGCTACAAACATACCAAATATCCATTTCATTCTTGATGCAAGTCAGGGTTATTTTCAGTTTACTGATACTATAAATAAAGCAGTAACAGTCTTTGCGTGGACACAGGTTTTTGTTTCTCTTGGGGAAATAAGAGTCGAATTGTTTGGTCACATGGAAGTGTTCGTCTACCTTTATAAGAAACTGCCAAACTGTTTTCCAAAACAATGGTACCATTTTACATTCCTTTTTTTGGCAGAGTCTCATTCTGTCCCCTGGGCTGGAGTACAGTGGCACGACCTCTGCTCACTGCAGCCTCCGCCTCTTGGGTTCAAGTGATCCTCCCAGATTCCAGTGATTCTCCTGCCTCAGTCTCCCGAGTAGCTGGGACTATAGGTGTTCACCACGTCTGGCTAATTTTTCTATTTGTACCAGAGACGGGTTTTGCCATGTTGGCCAGGCTGGTCTCAAACTCCGAACCTCCAGCAATCTGCCCGCCTCGGCCTCCCAAAGTGCGAGGATCACAGGCGTGAGCTACTGCATCCGGCCCCATTTTACATTCCTGTCAACAACATGCGTGCATTTCAACTGCTCCATATCCTTATGAACAATGAAGACTGTCTCTTTTTCATTTTAACCATTCCAGGAAGTATGTTCAAGTAGCTCATTACGGGTGAATTTGCATGTCCCTGATGAATAATGATATACCCTGTGTATGCTTCATGCCCACTCATATACCGTCTGGGAAATGCATGTTTAAATCTTTCACCCACTGTTTTACTGGGCTGTTTTCTTATTATTGAATTCTAAGAGTTCTTTATATGTTCTAGATACAAGTCCTTGCAGTACATATAAACGACAATATATATGTACTGCATATATATATATACACACACACACATACTGTCCTATATATGTACTGCAAGTATTTTCAGAGGGTGTGGCTTGCCTTTTTATTTTCTCAATCTGGTCTTTCAAAGAAAGAGAGTCTTAAATTTTGATGAGATCCCATTTGTCAACTTTTTCTTTTGTGGCTCATGCTTTTTGTGTCCCAAGAAATTTCTGCGTACTCAAGGCCACAAAGATTTTTACCTATATTTTCTCCTAAAGTTTTATGGTTTTAGTTTTTATGATTTCAAATAATTTTTTGCATATGATGCAAGGGTTAATGTTCACCATTTTTCCTGTGAATACTCTTGCCGGAACCACCTGTAGATAACACAATTCCTCCCCCTTGAATCATCCTGGTACCTCTGTTGGAAATCAATGAACCAAAAGTTTGTGGTTCACTTTCCAGGCTCCATTCCATCCCACTGGCCTGCGTGCCAGTCCTCCTACCAGCACCACACTCTCATCACTGTAGCTGCACACAGTCTTACTATTGGGGTGAGTAACTTACACTGTTCCACCCATTACCGAGAGGACCTTGGTCTAGCGGTAGCGTCAGTGCCTAGAAAAGGCATCCGTTACTTTGCGAGTTAGAGAATACTCTGCTCCACCACCTCTTGTGGAACCGCCCAGTTATCCGGAGGCCTAACCGTCTCTCTGTGATGCTGTGTGTCAGTGGTCATGCTCCTGGTCTACTTTCATGTTCTACCCTGTACAACTGGCTCTGCCTTTTAAACAGCAGTAGCAGAATTAGTGAAAGTACTAAAAGTCTTTGAAATGCAGAAGTAATGGCGTAAGCTGTCTCCTCTCTCTCTCTCTGCCTCAGCCGCCAAACAGGGAAGGGCCCCCTGTCCAGTGGACATGTGACTCACGTGACCTTGTCTATCATTGGAGATGACTCACACGCCTTACCCTGCCCCCTGGTATTGTATCCAATAAATAACAGCGCAGCCTGGCATTCGGGGCCACTACTGGTCTCTGCATCTCGGTGGTAGTTGTCCCCCGGGCCCAGCTGTCTTTTCTTCTCTTTGTCTTGTGTCTTTATTTCTACAATCTCAACTCCACACATGAGGAGAAAAACCCACAGACCCTGTAGGGCCGGTCCCTACAACCCTTTTGCCGGGTTCTCTGGGATCGCTACTGTGCATGTGTAGTTTAGTGGTTGGCCTGGGATTTGGGCAGTTCCTACTCAGATTCGGGCCTTGCCCCTTGGTAGTTTTCTTGCTTCTGGGATTTTCCTGTTAAATTTCCAGTGTTCTTCAAGTCCTGGACTATCTCCTCTACCACCTCAGGATAGTAAAGCCTATGTCTCATGCCACTGTAGTGTGGAGATTATGAAAAACCCTCAGGTAAGAAAGCCACAGGCTCCCAGTTCAAATCCACTGTAGCTGTTGCTTTATAGGAGCAAACTCTCCTCCAGCTCTGGCCTGCTTTTGGATACTCTGTGGTCCCTTTAAATAATTTTCTGTCCAAATTTGATATTTATCTATGGGACAGTTTGTACAACCATGGTTACCAGAAGTTTTGGCTAAAGCCTTCTAAATATCATTTCGTTCTCCTTTGCAGGAGTGTATCTTGCTTCTTGAGTGGCTGCAGCGAGCAGCCGCTCACACGTGCTCTGGCTGCCTAGTGCAGCCACCCTGCTTCACCTTTAAAAGCGGGTCTGCGTGCTCCAGATACCAGCCGGCAACCGCATGGCCTGCTTCATGGTATGCCACGGTCTTCTTCTCCTCAGGCTGCAGAACCTGCGTTTTTTTCTCTAAGCCTAACAAAATAAGAACAAAAAAACCCAAGCCACCATTTTAGTGACACTGACATTAAAAGACAATTATACAGTGCTATACATTGCCTTACCTAAAATGGGGTTTGGAGATATAAGTCCTTGCAGTACATATCAAGGACAATATTATATATATACACACATACCTATATATCGTCCTTTATATATACATATATGCAGTACATATATATTGTCCTTTATATGTACTGCAAGTATTTTCAGAGGGTGTGGCTTGCCTTTTTATTTATTTATTTATTTATTTATTTATTTATTTATTTTTTTGAGACAGAGTCTCGCTCTGTCACCCAGGCTGGAGTGCAGTGGCCGGATCTCGGCTCACTGCAAGCTCCGCCTTTCGGGTTCACGCCATTCTCCTGCCTCAGTCCCCCGAGTAGCTGGGACTACAGGCGCCCGCCACCTCACCCGGCTAGTTTTTTTTTTGTATTTTTTAGTAGAGACGGGGTTTCACTGTGTTAGCAAGGATGGTCTCGATCTCCTGACCTTGTGATCTGCCCGTCTCGGCCTCCCAAAGTGCTGGGATTATAGGCTTGAGCCACCGCGCCCGGCCAATTTTCTTAATTGTCTTTCAAAGAAAGAGAGTCTGCCTATCACAATCCAAAAATTCCTAATCAAGGCCAGGCGCAGCGGCTCATGCCTGTAATCCCAGCACTTTGGGAGGCTGAGGTGGGCCGATCACTTGAGGTGAGGAGTTCGAGACCAGCCTAGCCAACATGGTGAAACCCCATCTCTACTAAAAATACAAAATTAGCCAGGCGTGGTGGTGAGCGCCTGTACTTCCAGCTACTAGGGAGGCTGGGGCAGGAGAATCACTTGAACCCAGGAGGCGGAGGTTGCAGTGAACTGAGATCATGCCACTGGACTCCAGCCTGGGCTATAGAATGAGACTCTGTCTCAAAAATAAAAAAAATTTAAAAATTAAGTTAAAAATTTTTTTAAAAATCAAATAGAATTCCCAATGTCAGAATAAAAGCAAAAGGTCAAGTTCAAAATACAACTACAGCAAAAATGCACTCACTCCCCCATCCCCAGGCCTGCTTTCTCACTTTTAAGCCACACACCCTGTGTTTTGGGAAACAAATTGAAATGTAAAATAAAATTCTGCATTGAGGTCATTTTAAAACACGCAAAATTACAGAAACCAAAACTCTGGAAAGGTCCTCAGTGCATAGTCTAGGTGTTCAGAATTATCAAATACTGGGCACAGGAAGATGCCTGCCGTAAGACACTACCTGTTGTCCATTCTGCCGGAAGGCAGGAGAGTCTGAGAAAGCAGGGAGCCAGTTCAAGACCCGGAGCTACCCCACATGGAGCCAGCCAGGCTGATGCTGGCGCACCCTCACCCAGCCAGCCGGCCCTGGGGCGCAGAGCGAGCCACAGAAGTGGCAGAGCAGACCCAGAGGGCAAACCCCAGAGACACAGGGCCCACAAGACCCGCGCTGGAGCCCACGTCCACCACAGTGCTGGCCGGACTCCAGTCTGAGCAGGATTCTTCTCTGGCCTGGATCAAGGTGGGCTCTGCCCCTCACTCTGTACCTCTGTGCTGTAAAAACTACCTGCACTATTTGTACTAAACAAATCATCACACAGTGGCAAAAGTAGTTTTGCCGTGTTCATGGTAATCCACCTGAGAGAATTTCTCAGCTGATGTTAAGAAGACTGGAAGACAAAAACAAAAGCTGTGTTCCCAATGACACAACCCAAGAGAAACACATGCCACAGGGCGGGAAGTTACAAAACGGGAGTTAAGTCTGTCTGCCGATGAACACTTCTGGCTTATCTGTAAAAACAGAAGCCTTTCCCCACAGTTCACCTCAGGAGTCATTCATTTTCTCAGTGCCTATCTCACTACACAACGCTGCCTGCGGGGCCAGCAACTGCCTCAGAGCCAAACCTGCGACTGGGTGGCTGCCTGCTCTGCCCCGCCCTCTCTGATCATTCTCGTTAACTTAAAAAAAGGCATAAATACACAGTTTTCACCTGTCTCTACAGTGAATTATTATATTTTGCTTCATTCCATTCACAACTCTCATCATCTGAGGTTCTTCTTTTCAATAACAAATTTATAAAATAAGAGGTCTGGTGATTCATTCAATCATTGTTTACTAAGCACCTATCCCCGGCGAACCACATTGCTCTACCAGCCTCTACGTCCTCACTGGAAGCCCCACTAGTCTGGTTTTGTACCCTCTACTCAGCTGAACTGTCAAAAGTCACCCTAACACCCTCACTGCCAAATCCAAAGTTCCTCTTCCTCCTCCACACCCATGTGCCTTGCCCTGCTGCTGGCGCCTCATCTCCTGTCCCCTCCAGCCTACAGGTCCCTGTTACTGGCACATCTTCCTCGCTTGTCTGCTGACGCACCTTCAGTGCTTATGGTACACCATGAGCACTTGTGACCCTGCTGACACACCTCTCCCCTCGTACCAAATGTGGGCACTGGGTAACATTTCCTCTGCAACTCCCTCTCTCCCAGGAAAGTGGCTCCAAGTGCCCCAGTCGCCCACCTCACTCCACCTGGCACACCCTGGGACCCTGCCCTGGCTCACAGGCAGGACTGCTCATTCTCTACGAGCCAGCTGCCTCTGCGAGTGCCCCACGCTCCTGCAGTCTCTCAAGTCTGTCCTCATTTCTTTTACGGCTGTCACTGGTGCTCCCCCATGCTAAGCTGTGGGCTCACGGTACTCACAGTGATGACTGCAAGGTTCTCTGCCTCTAGATGCTTCCCTCCTCTTCAAAGCCAGATTCATTCTCCTAAAATACCACTGGTCATTATGTTACTTAGTGGCTCACACCTGTAATCCCAGCACTTTGGGAGGCTGAGGCAGGCAGATCACCTGAGGTCAGGAGATCGAGACCAGCCTGGCCAACATGGTGAAACCCCATCTCTACTAAAAATACAAAAATCAGCCAGGCATGGTGGTGGGCGCCTGTAATAGCAGCTACTCGGAAGGCTGTTCATTTGAACCCTGGAGGCAGAGGTTGCAGTGAGCTGAGATTGTGCCACTGCACCCCAGCCTGGGTGACAGAATGAGAACCTGCCTCAAAAAAACAAAAAACGAAACAAAACCAAAAAACCCCACCTTAATTCAATACTGGCCATAGGACAAAACTGTAAAAGCCTCTGAGCTTAACATTCAAGGCTTTCCAAAACTGACCAGTTTACTCTCCCTCCCTACACACAGGGTAGGTAGCCTGCCTCAAGTCCATTCTGCCAGGTCATGTCCAGGCCACACCCAGTTCTATCCTGGGCCAGGGGCACACCCCTCCTCTTCTGTGGAACTCTGCCTGGCGCAGGGCTTCCCCCTCCTTTGAATGCCCAAGGACTTGAATTGCTACTTGCCTTTGGGGATTAAATCAGAAGCCCTATGGAATGTTAAGAAAACACGTGCTCCCCCTGTGCTGGCTGAGGAAGCACTTCCAGCTCCACGCCTGTTAGTTATTTTATTATTATTATTATTTTTTGAGATGGAGTCTCACTCTGTTGCCCAGGCTGGAGTGCAGTGGTGCGATCTCAGCTCACCACCACCTCTGCCTCCCGGGTTCAAGCAATTCTCCTGCCTCAGCCTCCCAAGCAGCTGGGACTTCCAAGTACGCGCTACCACCCGTACTTGTATTTTTAATAGAGATGGGGTTTCACTATGTTGGCCAGTCTGGTCTCAAACTCCTGACCTCGTGATCTGCCCACCTCGGCCTCCCAAAGTGCTGGGATTACAGGCGTGAGCCACCGTGCCAGGCTGTTACAGATATTTTACAACCATCACCTGTATCTAGCACAGAGCACCATGTGATGAAACTTTTGTAAACAGGAAGGCTGTGAGCTTTTTAACAAACTTGATTGGTATAATTCACGGGTAGACACCTCACTGCTGGCTGCCTGTGCAAGCAAAGCATTTGTGAGCTGCCATCTCAAACTCACCCAGCACCACAGACCTCCATGCAGAGGGCAGGTGGCAGCAGATGGTGGGGAAAGAAGGAAGAGAGGCAGGGGAGGCATGAGAGGGGCCATGACACCAAGAGAACACAAGTATGGTGAGCCCCAGGGCTGGGCGGATACACTTTCTTGGCTTTCAGTTCTTGCCCAAACAGAGAAATCCCTGGCCTCAAATTCATTTTATCAGCCTTTCTACTTGAGTTATGTTCAGTTTCCTTACCACCAATCACTCGCTCAATTGCCTGTTCAAAGTGTTTCTGATTTATGGAATCTGACAGGTGCCTCGCAGCAATCAACGCAGCTTCATTACAGACATTAGCAACATCAGCACCTAAAAAATGAACATAGAACAGCTTACCCACCGAAATATGCCCAAACTGATCAGTCAAATCCATAGTTAATTTTTAAATCAGCAGTACAATGAATAAAGGTTTTGTGTGAATAGAATTCTGTTTGACTTACGATAACCCTAAGCTATTCCAGCATTTAATGTAAGCCTGGTATAATTCTGGCCCTCTGAACTAAGATGAAAGTATTAGTAGTCAACAGATAATTACAGGCAACTATTTACCTTAATAGACAATATGGCTCACATAATAGCAAACTAAGATAGCATCTAAAAATGCTCATTTAAATAACTTAGTTCTATCACCTGTGTTGGGAAAATGGCTTGCATAGATATTAGGTGAAGTACTGAGGTATGATGAGAAACCTAATTTTTATAATCACCTAGTACATTCAGTGAAACAACTAAATTTAAATATAGCTAAAAGCTTGTCAAATGCTTTTTAGATCCATCTCTTTAACTTTGCAGCTAAGGATATGGTAGCACAAATAAGCTACAGCACACCGTCTGTGTTAAATAAACAAATATTACAACATTATAAATTTCAAAGACAAGTAAAAAGGTAAGACCCCTCAAACAAGATGATCATCTTCTGACCACACTATTGTACATAATCTTTTCATACTTCTCAAACTGTTCTATTTCATTTTGTGTTTAGAAGGAGAGAAATAGGGAATAGGAAAGGACCATATTTTACATTAAAAAATTATTGGAATAAGCACATGAAAAGATGCTCAACATCACCAGTCATTAGAGAAATGCAAATCAAAACAGCAGTGAGATGCCAAATCACACCAGCTAAGATGGCTGTAATAAAAAAAGACAGTGACAAGTGCTGGCAAGGATGTGGAGGAACTGGGACCCTCACACGTTACTGGTGGGAATGTAAAATGGCACGGGTAATTAAAACAACCTAGCGGTTCCTCAAAAAGTTAGAGATACAACATGACCCAGCAATTCCACTGCTAGGTATTTACCAAGAGAAACAATACGACCACGAAAAATCTATACACCAATGTCCATGGCAGCATTATTCATAATAGCCAAAAACTGGCAACAGCCCACGTGGCCATCAACTGACGGGTGGATCAACAAGATGTGGAATAGCCAAACAACGGCACATTTACTTGGTCACGAACAGGAATGACGTTCTGATGCCTGCCACGATTTGGATCAGTCCCGTTCATTATGTTAAGTGAATATAAGCTAGGCACAGAAGACCACGTTTTTATTTTATTTTATTTTACTGGAGACAGAGTTTTGCTCTTGTCGCCCAGGCTGGAGTGCAATGGCGCAATCTCGGCTCACTGCAATATCCACCTCCTGGGTTCAAGCAATTCTCCTGCTTCAGCCTCCCAAGTAGCTGGGATTACAAGCCCCCACCCCAACCACACCCAGCTAATTTTTGTATTTTTAGTAGAGACAGGGTTTCGCCTTATTAGCCAGGCTGATCTTGAACCCCTGATGTCAGGTGATCCACCTGCCTCGGCATCCCAAAGAGCTGGGATTACAGGTGTGAGCCACTGCACCTGGCCAAAACCACATGTTTTTATATAAAATGTACAGAATAAAAAAATCTAGAGAGACAGAAAGTTTGATTGATTGTTTTGAGATGGAGTCTCGCTCTGTTACCCGGGCTGGAGTGCAGTGGGGTGATTTAGGCTCACTGCAACCTCGCCTCCTGGGTTCAAGCCATTCTGCTGCCTCAGCCTCCTGAGGAGCTGGGATTACAGACATGTGCCACCATGCCTGGCTAATTTTTGTATTTTCAGTAGAGACAGGGTTTTGCCATGTTGGCCAGGCTGGTCTCGAACGCCTGACTTCAGGTGATCCACCGGCCTCGGACTCCCAAAGTGCTGGAAATACAGGTGTGAGCCACCGCGTCCAGCCCAAAATGTTTTAAAATTATAGTGATGGTTGTACAACCCTGTAAATATACTAGAAACCATTAATTGTACACTTTACACAGGTGATTTTTAGTTAACTTTATTTCAACAGAGCTTTTAAAAAAACACTTAGGAATAATTCCTACAATATTTATAGAAAAAAATGACACACTGTCAGCAATTTGTCACAAAATACTCCAGAGGAAGCAGAAAGAGACGAGGGCATAGGTAAAAGTAAGGGTGGATGGGAATTAGTAATTGTTCCCGAAACCAGGTGATAGGTACAGATGGTTTCATTACACCATTCCCTCAAAATCTGTGTATGTTTGAAATTTCCTGTAATAACAAAGTAAAAATAGTCAGGCACAGTGGCTCATGGTTATAATCCCAGCAGTTTGGGAGGCCGAGGCAGGAGGATTACTTAAAGCCAGGAGTTTCAGGCCAGTCTGTGCAAAATAAGACCCTGTCTCCACAAAATCAGAAAATTAGCTGAGCATGGTGCTACATGCCTGTAGTCCCAGCTACTCAGAAGGCTGAGGCAGGAGGATCACTCGAGCCCAGAAGGTTGAGGCTATAGTAAGTTATGATTACACCACTCAGTCCAGCCTGTGCAATTAAATCAAGATCCTATCTCAAAAAAAAAAAAAAATTGAGAATATAAACTTAGGTAGCCCACAGTAAAGAAGTGAAAAGGTAACAAAGTAAACTGGTACCTGGTAACTATTCCTGATTTTAATATACTTCTAAATAGAGTCCTCGTTACTTTCCACTCACCTGAAAACCCTGGAGTTAAAGATGCCAGTTTTCTTGCCAATTTATCCTTCTCCAGGGTACTGTCCAGTTTTAGTGGTCGGAGGTGAACTTTGAAAATAGAAGCTCTTCCTTTTATGTCTGGTGGTCCTTTAGAAATCATTTTTAAGGAAAAGAAAATCATATTGAAACAGTCACACCTATACTCATGAGCACTGGACCTGCCCCAGCAAACATCATCTCACCAATAAATATCTGCCTGTCGAAACGCCCCGGCCTAAGCAGCGCAGGGTCCAGGATATCTGGTCGATTAGTGCCGGCCAAAATGACGACATTTGTTGTTGTATTAAAACCTGAAAGGTAACAAAAATGCAAACACTATTAAATGACAAGAGGCAGAAAGCAATGGTGCACCATCAGGAACATATGAGCACTGCAAATTCATAGCTACAGTAAACACATTTTCTATTCATTATCCAGTGGGTTTTTGTTGTGTTGTTGTTTGAGATGGAGTTTTACTCTTGTCCAGGCTGGAGTGCAATGGCATGATCTCAGCTCACTGCAACCTCTGCCTCTCGGGTTCAAGCAATTCTCCTGCCTCAGCCTCCCGAGTAGCTGGGACTACAGGCGTGCCCCATCACACCTGGGTAATTTTTGCATTTTTAGTAGAGATAGGGGTTCTCCATGTTGGTCAGGCTGGTCTCAAACACCTGACCTCAGGTGATCCACCTGCCTGGGCCTCCCAAAAGTGCTGGGATTACAGGCGTGAACCACTGCCCCGGCCTATCCAGTGTTTTTTAAGTTACAAACTTGAATTATTTTTCTTACTATTCAGCTTTTCCTTGAAAATAATCATATGTTAGACTTAAAATTTTAAGAGTAAATTTCCTAAAGACAAATGACCAAATATTTAAATTTATTTAACTAGAAATTTAGAAGATAACGTCAATTTAAAAAATGTCTTAAAATCAGATTAAATTTGCCAAGGATGTCTCTGACACACCGGGCCACGGGACAACCAACCGCCTATCTGAAGGCAGAGATCAGCCTCTACCTCCCACCTCCTCTCCACACTCAAGCGGCTCCGTGTTACTGCCATTCTCAATGTAAACGCCATGGTCCCAGGCCCTTCCCCTCAGGACCCTGGCATGGCAGGATCTCCTGGGTGCATTTCCCTCAGATGTGGTGCTCCAATGTAACGCAACATGGGCGGACCATTGCGGGAGGAAGGAGGATCTCTACCTTCTTATTCTGACCCTATGCCTGGCTTCGTCATTGAAGCCAGTTCAGTACTGGCACTGCGCTTCCCCTTTCTGCACAACCAACCAAGCATCCACATTTTTATCTTCCAGCAGGAAGAACACATGACATCCTGAGAAGTGCCTTTCCTAAATGAAAGAAAAGCTGGCTAGCATGGAAAGATGGCTACTCTCTTAGTAAAAAAGTATTTGAAATTTGCTAAATTCACATTGGGTTAGGCTTAGATTTTCCTTGTGCTTCAGAGATGGTGATGATTTAGAGAATGAGATGGTAACTCTTTTGTGACTCATTTCACCAATTCTTCTCTTATTCAAACACCAGACACAAACAGCATGTTAACACCAATATTAAGTTATGCAGGCTGCCAGGAAAAAAATATTTTGCTATTATTTATATTAGTATAAAAGAGCCTTTTAAAAGAACTGTTTGTTTTAGAGAATGCTTTTTTTTTGTTTGTGATATTCAATATTGGAACAAGGACTCTCATTTTGGGGACATGAAAGGCATAAGAAAGTGCAGCTTAAACTCAGGAGGCTGAGGCAGGAGGATCGCTTGAACTCAGGGGTCAGAGGATGCAGTGAGCCGAAATCACATCACTACCCTCCAGCCTGGACGACAGAGCCAGACTCCATCCCAAAAAAAAAAAAAAAAAAAAAGTGCAGTTAAAGATACAAAAGCCTTGACCACTCACCATCCATCTCCACCAGCAGCTGGTTCAGTGTGTTCTCCTGCTCACTCTGCCCTCCAAAGTTGCCTCTTCCTCTCTTCCTTCCCACTGCATCAATTTCATCGATGAAGAGGATGCAAGGGGCATTCTTCCGAGCAAGGGCAAATAAGTCTCGGACCTTGGCAAAAACAGAAAGAGAGTCATTTGACCAGAGAATATTATTTATCCTCTGAATAAGAAACGAAATAAATCGGCCGGGCACAGGGGCTCATGCCTGTAATCCCGGCATTTTGGGAGGCTGAGGCGGGTGGATCACCTGAGGTCGGGAGTTCAAGACCAGCCTGACCAACATGGAGAAACCCTGTCTCTACTAAAAATACAAAATTAGCCAGGCATGGCGGCGCATGTTTGTGATCCCAGCTACTCAGGAGGCTGAGGCAGAAGAATCACTTGAACCCGGGAGGCAGAGGTTGCAGTGAGCTGAGATCGCGCCATTGCACTCTAGCCTGGGTGACAAGAGCGAAACTCTGTCTCAAAAAACAACAACGAGAAAAAAAGAAATGAAATAAATCTTCAGCTTCCATGTGCAGACAATCTTTCTGTGATGCACACTGGAAGGTACATTTTTTTAAAGAGTTACAAGTAGCAAAGAAGCGGCAAATGAGGAGTAACCTGGGTAACTGGGTTAAGGTGAGCAAATCTTTCTCAGATCCCATAAATTACTGTATATGTAATAAACACTGATAATATCTGCTATTTTTGTAATACCAACAAATTAATATTACATATATGCCTACACAGAGACAATATAGTGGAGCTATAAACTTTACATCGAGTTGAAAAGTTCAGACTTCTCTAGGGTTCACATTTCACGCCTAAGGCAGTTATTAACAGGCTGGGACTACTAAGGGGTCTATGCAATCACACATGTACAATGAAGCCAAAGACCATCCAAGCTCACCAGCTCATCCCCAAAGAGGGGGTGACAGCCTTCGTCTGCCACCCACCCCACCACAGACCATCCTGATAGCACATACCCTCAGACAAACCTGCAGTCGGGAGGAGGAGGAAGAGCTACTCAGTGCCTCACCATCTGTCACCTGCCCCTTTAGGGAGCGTCAGAGACAACTCTCCACCCGCCCACTCCCACCCCCACCCCCCACCCCCACTTCACTGGCCAGAAGTCCAGGTCTTCCTGCCTGGATTTCTGGATGTTCATTCCTACACTGCTCTCAACACATCTCCTAAAATAACTCGTATCCTTCTCCAGCCTCCCCTCTGAACTCCAGATCTGTGACCTACAGAACCACACCTTCAAACTACATCCATCCTGTCCTGGTATGAACAGGAACTCAGCTATTCCACCAAGCCTTAAGCAGGAGTCTGCATCTTCCCCTACAGGCTGGCTGGAGCTGGGGTCCATCTCACACTCCACTGCTGCTACCAAAATAACTGCTGGAAAAGCCCCTGCTTGCTGAGGCTCAGGCCTCGTGGCAGGCACTCCACCCCGCTGTGCCGTGGGTCTCCCCGTGGGACATCACTATGTCCTCAGTGATTTCCATCCATGTGAATCTCGGTCTCTCAGTTCCCTGGCCACCTCTTCATTCACCTTTTATTTCACTCTGACAAGAACAACACTGACAAGGTTGCCTTTTAAACCACCATCTTCAAGTCATCTCCTCTCTGAGCACCCCCTCCTATCATCTGGCCCCACACACACACTCAGGTATCTCATGCCAACTCTTTACCACTTCTCAGCTCTCCAACCCACCAGGCCCACCCTTCCCCACCACCACCCACAGCTCCTCTCCTGTCTTCAATCTCCCCCCATCCACATTATATCTCATGGCCCATCATCATAAATGCCCAACTCCCCCTCATTCCCTATTTTTCTATGACTTACCTGCACAACAAGAGCAAAGTGTGAAACAGATTTGAAGGTGAGGCCGGACACGGTGGCTCACACCTGTAATCCCAGCAATTTAGGAGGCTAAGGCGGATGCATCACCTGAAGTCAGGAGTTCAACACCAGCCTGGCCAACATAGTGAAACCCCATCTCTACTAAAAATACAAAAATTAGCTGGGCATGGTGGTAGGCACCTATAATCCCAGCTACTAGGGAGACTGAGGCAGAATCACTTGAACCCAGGAGGCAGAGGTTATGCCACTGCACTCCAGCCTGGGCGACAGAGCAAGACTCCATCTCAGGAAAAAAAAAAAAAAAAAAAGCCTCTTACACTTCAACAACCAAAAAAAAAAAAACCCAATTAAAAAATGGGCAAAGGATCTGAATAGACATCTCTCCAAGGAAGATATAAAAATATACAAATGGCCAATAAGCACATACAAGATGTTCAACATCACTCCTCATCATGCAAATGCAAATCAAAACCACGAGATACTATGTCACACCCATTAAGGTGGCTATCATTAAAAATTAGACAATAACCAGTGTTGGTGAGGGCGGGGAAACATCAGAGCCCCTTACACACTGCTGGTAGGATGGAAAATGGGCAAGTAGTTTGGAAAACAGTCTGGTGATCCCTTAAAATGTTAAACATAGAGTTACCATTCGAAAACATTATGTTAAGTAAAGGAAATCAGGCATAAAAACCCACATATTGTATAATTTCATTTACATAGAATGTCTGTACTAGGAAACTCTGCTGTGTAGTTTGCTTAGGACTCCCGATTTATCTTTTTTTTTGAGATGGAGTCTCACTCCATCACCCAGGCTGGAGTGCAGTGGCGAGATCTCAGCTCACTGAAAGCTCCGCCTCCCAGGTTCACGCCATTCTCCTGCCTCAGTCTCCCGAGTAGCTGGGACTACAGGCGTCCGCCACCTCGCCCGGCTAGTTTTGTTTTTGTATTTTTAGTAGAGACAGGGTTTCACCGTGTTAGCCAGGATGGTCTCGATCTCCTGACCTTGTGATCCTCCCACCTCGGCCTCCCAAACTGCTGGGATTACAGGCATGAGCCACCGTGCCCGGCCAGGATTTCTTCTTGATGTAATGGAAATGTTGTAAAACTGATTGTGGTGATGGCTGCACAAATCTGTGAATTACTAAAAGCTACTGAATCGTATACATTACAGAGATCAATTGTTTGGTATGTCAATTATATCTCAATAAACGCTGTCACCAAAAAAAAAAAAAAAAATCCACCAATAAAGCAAACTCTGTTTTTTTTTTTTTTTGAGACAGCGTCTCACTCTGTCGCCCAGGCTGGAATGCAGTGGTGTGATCTCAGTTCACTGCAACTTCTGCCGCCTGGGTTCAAGAGATACACCTGCCTCAGCCTCCGAAATAGCTGGGATCATAGGCATGCACGACCATGCCTTGCTAATTTTTCTATTTTTAGCAAAGACAGGGTTTCGCCATGTTGGCCACGCTGGTCTCGAACTCCTGACTTCAAGCGTTCCGCCCACTTCAGCCTCCCAAAGTGCTGGGATTACAGGTATGAGTCACCGCGCCAAGCCATCAATTCTTGAAATTGGTCTAATATAGGTAGCAGACTGCAGTCCTAGCTGGTGCGAGGGAAGGTGGGGTAGAAGTCACAGGCCTTCCTGAAGGCTTAGGCCTGGAGCTCAGGCCATGGACTGGTGAGAGGTCACTCTAGCACTCTAGGGCGAAGGGCCATCTCTAGCAAGTCCCCCCATCTGTGGGGAAGTGGTGGGTGTAAGGAAGCTGTACCATCAGAACAGAATGAGACTCACTCTAGCTGGGCCCACACCAACGAACATCTCCAAAAACTCGGATCCACTAACGGTGATGAAGGGGACATTGGCTTCTCCGGCTGTGGCCTTAGCTAGCAGCGTCTTCCCAGTGCCTGGAGGACCAGTGAGAATGGCACCCTTCAGATATGAAAAAAGAAATTACATTTAATGAGAATTTCAGAAAAGTAGATTGTGTATCCGCAAATAATTCCAAGATATAATTCTGTCTCTAAATCTTATTGATATACATTAAATATTAAACATTTGTGCTATGGTAGAACATTTTTATATTAGTAAGAATAAGAAAAAGATTATCAAAAATAATTTTGTTTCAAAAAATTTGGTAACAATGTGAAATTTAAAATATTTCCTTTTTTTCCTAGTGCTGATTTTTAGACCTTTAATCCAACAGTATGTAAAGGGCGACTTAGGCTAGGAATATACTAATAAACCCGCTAAGGTTTACTTAAATAATTCAAGAAGACAGAAACACCACACTCCTGATTTATGTAATTCTTTTACTCTTTACAAGTAAAATTAGTTTTTGAGCTCAAATAATTAATAAACCCAACTTCTGACTTAACTTTCATGTACAAATCAGCACATTTTTAGCATGGTTGGACACGCAACTTAAAACCTACCTGTGAATTTATTTCCACTGACCACCCACAAACAGTGTCCTCTCTTATTTATAAATAGACATACTACCACACTACCATATCCAAATACTGTGAGGAGGTAGATAATATGGTCAAATGATATTTTTTCTAGGCTTTGTAATAAAACCTTAAGGTATTTTTAAAATTTTGCTTTTCATCTTTAAAAGTTTCACAAATGAAGTAGAAATTTAACGACCAATGACGAACTTAACTACAAAGAAAGAATGTGTTTGCTCAAACAATACACCTTTTTTTTTTTTGAGATGGAGTTTCACTCTTGTTGTCCAGGCTGAGTGCAATGGCAAGATCTCGGCTCACTGCAACCTCCGCCTCCCAGGTTGAAGCGATTCTCCTGCCTCAGTCTCTTAAGCAGCTGGGATTACAGGCGCACACCACCATGCCCAGCTAATTGTATTTTTAGTAGAAACGGGGTTTCACCATGTTGGCCAGGCTGGTCTCGAACTCCTGACCTCAGGTGATCCACCCACCTTGGCCTCCCAAAGTGCTGGGATTACAGGCATGAGCCACCACACCTGGCCCTACACAACTAATGTAATAGTCAGCTAGGTGTGATGCAAATGGATACTAAGTAACAGTAAGTTATAAATTCATAAAATATGACTTTCTATCCATAGAAGCAAGACATAAAAATCAAGGAAATAATGATTATCTTTCAAAGGATTCCTTTAAAGTAAAATTTATTAATGGACTTTAAAAAGAAATATACAGGCCAGGTGTGGTGGCTCAAGCCTGTAATCCCAGCACTTTGGGAGGTCGAGGCAGGCGGATCACGAGGTCAGGAGATCGAGACCATCCTGGCTAACACAGTGAAACCCCGTCTCTCCTAAAAAATACAAAAAAACTAGCCAGGCGAGGTGGTGGGCGCCTGTAGTCCCAGCTACTCGGGAGGCTGAGGCAGGAGAATGGCGTAAACCCGGGAGGCGGAGCTTGCAGTGAGCTGAGATCCAGCCACTGCACTCCAGCCTGGGTGACAGAGAGAGACTCCGTCTCAAAAAGAAAAAAAAAAAAGAAAAAAGAAATATACATTTTTATTTTTATTTTATTTTTTTTTGAGACGGAGTCTCGCTCTGTCACCCAGGCTGGAGTGCAGTGGCACGATCTCGGCTCACTGCAAGCTCCGCCTCCCGAGTTCACACCATTCTCCCACTTCAGCGTACCGAGTAGCTGGGACTACAGGCGCCCGCCACCTCGCCCGGCTAGTTTTTTGTATTTTTAGTAGAGACGGGGTTTCACCATTCCCAGGATGGTCTCGATCTCCTGACCTTGTGATCCGCCCGCCTCGGCCTCCCAAAGTGCTGGGATTAACAGGCGTGAGCCACCGCGCCCGGCCAGTTTTTATTCATTCACTTTTTATTAATTTACTTAATAGCTGCTCCATTTAACAAATATGAAGTTACTGTCCCATGCCTAGCCCTATGGGCACCAAGCCCTATAGGGTACAGCCCACCACTAGCACAGCGGGCACAAGTGTATTAGCTGGAAAGGGGAAGGTGATGGCGAGTGCTGTGTCCTCTCTGCTGGATCCTGTGCCGTGAACCTTGGTGCCAGCACAGGTGTCTTGTCCACATTCAACCCTTGAAGGGACACTGGGTGACAGCATTGTGTGACATGGTCAGTGAGCTACCGCGGCCCTAAAGCTGCTGAGAGATACGGCATCTAAATCAGATTGGAGGAAGAGGAAAGACGAATCAAGAAAAGTCTTCCAAGAGGAGGTAACACAGATACTTTCAGGAATACATACACTATACAAGACACATTCACACAGAAAAACTGACCCAAAACAATCCTCGAGTTGGGCAGAGGCTACCCTAGTGAGCTGAGAAAGAGGAAGGACGGGAAAACAGCTATTTATAATAAGTAATCAAACTTCATAAAATTATAACTTCAGAGATCAAGAAACACTTCGAAAAGTTAATCTTCTAAAAGTTCATTTTACCTTTGGGATTTTTGCTCCTAAGTCTTGATACTGCTTTGGGTTTTTCAAGAAATTCACAAATTCCATGATCTCCAGCTTGGCCTCCTCACAGCCAGCCACATCTTTGAACTTCACATCAATTTCATCCTTTAAGACCTTGGCAGTGGTTTCTCCGACACTGAAGAGTCCACCCATCCCTCGGCCTGTCCGGCCGATGCCAGCAGGCCCTCTTCTGATGGTGTAGAGCAAGAAGGCGATGATGAGCACTGTGGGCAGCATGCTCAACAGAAAAGAGCTGGGGACACACAGCGCAACATGGGTTAGGACTGGCTGCTCACCTCCAGCTTTCACATGTGGTGCAAGGTATCAATATAAACATATATAGCTACATCAAGGTATACCTTCCGCACTTAATACAAATGAGGGTAACTTGCAAGTGTTCTTCAAAGGCAACAGAATTCCCAAATAAGTTCCATGGCAACCAACTCTTGAAATAAATGGAGCATCTGCCCAGACTTTAAGTGGGGTAACTAGCATGGTCTTATTAAAGACAACCCCCAAAGAAGAAGTTCTGATGAGAGAAGAATCACCTAAAAATCCTGGAAAACTCTGTGAAATATAAACATAAATGACAGTTCAAAGATGGGAATGCCATTCTTTGATACAAAGGAGTTCTTTATGCTAAAATCCTTCCAAAGGTCAATTCATTGAATGTTAATACCCCAAACCGCTGCTTAATCAAGGTAAGTATAGATGTGCAGAAAATGAATGAATCAAAAAAAATAAAAATAAAAATAAAAAGCCAGGTGTGGTGGCTCACGCCTGTAATCTCAGCACTTTGGGAGGCTGAGGCGGGTGGATCACCTGAAGTCAGGAGTTCGAGACCAGCCTGGCCAACATGGTGAATCCCTGTCTCTACTAGAAATACAAAAATTAGCTGGGCATGGTGGCAGGGGCCTATAAGCCCAGCTACTCAGGAGCCTGAGGCAGGAGAACTGCTTGAACCGGGGTGGGGGCAAAGGTTGCAATGAGTCAAGATCACACCACTATACTCCAGCCTGGGCGACAGAGCGAAACTCCATCTCAAAACAAAAAGAAAATGAATGAGTCATGTGCAAAAACTAGTGAGTTACTAATAGCTTTTTTAAAATCTGGCCAAACTGAGAAAGGCCTGTTTGAGAATATAATGAGTAGCCCTGCACCCAGGGACAGAACACAGTGAACCATAGCAGCACAGTAAACAGTCTCCAAAATATTATCTTTGAGATTACCCATCACTTTCAGCAATGTAGACAACAGGCACCCGATTTTCTCCTTCTATGCCCAGTTCCTGCTGTAAAGTTTCCAGATTCCGTTCAAAGGTGTCCACACTGCCAATATTAAACCAAACGTATTGCTATAAAAACAAAAAAAAAAATACCCTAAGAATAAAGTGAAACTAAAAGGTTCAATTCACTAAAGGGTTCAACTTTTTAAGAATTTTTCAGAAATACTGAAAATTTATTAAAAAAAAAAACAGTAATAAAAATTTGGCTTTAATAATGTGGTGATTAAACATCACTCACTGAGAACAGTTGGCAATTCTTGGCAAATAAGCATTTCCTTAGCAGCAATATCTCAGTGGCTCTAAAATTATAAACTCAAAAAACAGAATGAAAAACCTATTTGAAAACATAATCCTTTTTAAAATAAATACGCATTATTTTCCTCTTTCTCCATTCCCTAGGTATTTTATTTTAGCTCCCTATTCCCAAATTTAAAACTACTGTGAAACAGTGATAAGAACTAAAGTTTACTGGGTGTGTACTAAGTGCCAGGCATTGTTCTGGGCTCTTTAGATGCATTAGTTCATTCAATCCTGAGGACCATCCAAAGAAGCAGGTGCCATCACTGAGGACGATGTTCAAAATCTGAACACCGCACCCCTACTGTGCAACTGGAACAGATGTGCCTTGCTGTGCCAGGCACTCCCTCTTTATTCCCTGGAGCTGCAGAGACCCAGAGGGCCCAGCACAGCGATGCCTGAGGGGCCAGGTCAAGGCTATTCTACCAACCAGCATGTAATTATTTCCTATTGTACTGAGTGAATGTGAGCCCTGACTCCTGCTCCCATTCTACAGATGAGAAAACTTGCTCATGGTCACACACAAAATAAGCGGCTGGGATATGAACCCAGACAGTCTGGCTCCTGAACCAGTGTCCTAACCACAATGCCACATTGCCTCTGCACAACCATGAGGACACTGATGTTAACAGCTCACATTTATGGAGTTTACTAGCTAGAAGACCCCATTTCAAGCACTGTGCATGTATTAGCTCCATTTTATAGTACAAAAACGGTTTCTCCTTTAACCTGCAATCATCTTTTTTAAAAAAAGTATTTTTAAAATCAAAACAGTAAGTCTATGATATAAAACTCATTAGAGAGGCTGGGCACAGTGGCCAGTAATCCCAGCACTTTGGGAGGCCCAGGCGGCAGATCACCTGAAGTGAGGAGTTCGAGACCAGCCTGATCACCATGGCCTCAGACGGTCTCTACTAAAAATACAAAAATTAGCTAGGCATGGTGGCATCCGCCTATAGGCCCAGCTACTTGGGAGGCTTGAACCTGGGAGGCACAGGTTGCAGTGAGCCAAGACTGTGCCACTACATTCCAGCTTGGGCGACAGAGTGAGACTCCATTTCAAAACAAAAAACAAGGCCGGGCGTGGTGACTCACGCCTGTAATCCCAACACTTTGGGAGACCAAGGCGGGTGGATCACGATGTCAGGAGTTCAAGACCAGCCTGGCCAAGATGGTGAAATCCTGTCTCTACTAAAAATACAAAAAATTAGCCAGGCATGGTGGCAGGCACCTGTAATCCCAGCTACTCGGGAGGCTGAGGCAGAGAACTGCTTGAACCCTGGAGGCCGAGGTTGCAGTGAGCCCAGATGGCGCCACTGCACTCTAGCCTGGGCGACAAAGTGAGACTCCGTCTCAAAAAACAAATAAAAAAGCAAAACCCTCATAAGAGAGCAACATGTCATCACATATCCTTCCCACCAGTGTTACTGAGTGAGGAACATTACTGTGGTATTTCTCTCCAAGAATCTAAAAATAAAAGATGAAGAGTAAGTTTTATGTAACAACGTAATATTATTTGGTAAATTATTCACTAACAAAGATACAAAAATCACATGGTTACAAAGCCCCAAAACCTGCTTAGAATAGATTAACCACAAAGGATGTAACATTCCCTAACTCAGCCCCTGCTATCAACTGGGCAATAGGCCAAATGCCTGGTTCCCATCACAGAAGCAGTGTGAACCCAGGACCAGCAGCAGGGGACCACCCAGGAGCATGTCAGAAATGCAGATTCTCAGAACACAATCCAGATAAGAACCTCTGCAGGGGTGGGGTCCCAGGACTCAAGTTTTAATAGCTTTCCAGGTAATTCTAATGCACACTAAAATTTGAAAACCACCACTGACTGACCCTATCTCATTTAAGCACTAAGCCCTTCTCTATTGTCATACAGAAGGTAAACCATCTACCAGTCAAGAGTAGAACTGATGTGAGGCTAAAGCCTGTGTGTGTGCAGCACTGCTGCTCCATTTACAGCAGGACACTGAAAATCTGTTTCTGAAAGCTCAAAACAAGAAGTCTTTAGTAAGCAGGTAATATACATTCTCTGTAAAAACTCGGGATATGCACGTAAAGAAAGCAAAGACATCCATAACCCCAACATTCAGACACAAACAGCATCAGCATTTCAGGCCTGTGCCTCAAGACTGTATAATACCACCTTTACAATCTTGAAATACAATTTTGAAAAGAAATCAACATAAACCTTAACTGTAATATAAAAGAGAAATACAAAGAAAGCACTTTATATACAACGGTATGAATTTCAACACATAAATGCTCGTGCCAACGCTGGAAAACAAGTTCCCGCCAATGTCAAAATTGCCCCCAGGGACAGCCCTGCCCCCAAGGACAACTGCTCAAATGGAAACAGACACGGAACAAGGATTCCCTGTTAACCTGGTGCCTGCCATGGGCCTCTGGGTTATTTCTCATTTTTTGCTACGTATAGACAATGCGTGAGAGGACGTCCTTGCAGAGACATCTCACACACATCCCTACATTCTCCCTAGGCTCCCTTCCTAGAAGCAGACGGATGCGTGTGTGCGTGCTTCCCACAGTGCTAGAATACACATTGCCCACTGGCCTTATAACAAAGTGCCAACTTAAATCCCAGCACTGAAGTCTGAAGATAAAGCATGGTTATTAATAGGTGTTGCATAAGTAGGTAGAGAGAACGGGGGAAATTAAGACAATTAAAATGCCTTTCCTCAACACAGGGCAATACCAGAGCCCTATGACTTCACAGATACTCTGCTATTTGCTGACACGCTACTAAACAGAGAGATATGGTCACCATCACTTCTAGTTGTCCTTAAACGTTGCCCTGTCCAGGCAGGATGGCTAGAAAATGGTTAAACGCAATTATCCCAAGAGAGCTTGGCAAGTCCTGGGAGCCTCAGCTTTACCTCTCTCCCCTCCCTCCAGAATTCCCTCAATGCATTCAGCTTGCTCTGGGGTCTCTGGAAGTATACTCCAGACTGGTTGGAGAGGAAATACAAATTATTTTTAAAATAGGAAATCAAATAGAAATTAAAATAATATCACAAAATGGTTAGGAGATGGTGGGGATGCTTTTAAACTAATTTGATAAAAGCTGTCTCAAAACACAAGCAATTGAGATTTTAAATTTTTTTCCAAATCAAATAACTACTTCTCAGTCTTGAAAAGTTATAGACTATTCTGGAATACTGAAAACCGGGATTTCACTCACTGTCTCCTAAATGTAGTCAAAATGATTAACAGAAACAAAACAAAACACTGACCCAATCCCTGTATCACTAATCCATACACAACATTCCCATTTCCACTGTTAATGAGACCACCCCTGCCACACTGCCCAGTTCTGACAGATCTGGTGCGTGTAATTCGTACGGTGTGAGGCAGGTTTTCCTTTCAGCTTTAAATCTGGAAAGTTAATTTACAAATAATTCACATCAATTAATAAAATGATTTACCCCATCAACAGGAGTTTTTCCTGGTGTAAAGGTCACTCGAACAAAACGCTTGTTGACGACTTCCAGTCTGTCTACCTAGAATTTTAAAAATAAGTTCACACATAAATTCACAGAAAATACTTGAGATACTCTTAAGCTCATTTAAAATGCATATGATGTTTCAGCCATACAAGGAAAGAATAAAGAATCAGATAAGGATGCCCCCACATTCCCACCTCTAATTCTGCGGAAGCTCCCAGGCACGGCCCCTCCCAAAGGGGACTATGCTCTCACTTAGGGGCTGCACTGCCCAAACCACATCCTTACACTTGCACTACACATGAAGGTAACCCTACACGATATGCACATTCCCTTCTGTCTGTTTTTAAACTTTAAAAATGGTCTTGTTTTATATATAAGTATCCTTCTACAACTTTCTTTTTCCCTTCAACATTGCATTTGTGAGGTTTACGCAAGCTGACACTTCTGTGCTGTGGGGTATGCCATGCTATGACCACACCCAAGTTACTGATCCATCCTCCTGTTAATAGACAGCTAGGCTGTTATACATTTCTCACAAGCAATGCTGTCATGAACATTCCCATATCTACCTTTGTGGGCACATCTTAAAAAATTTCTCCAGGAAACATACCTGTAGATAGACACACTAATGCTGGGTGGCAGGGTATACATACCTTCAACTTTACCAGATATTGCCAAATTGCTCTCCAAAATGGCTCCTGAATTCACACTGCCATGAGCAAAATATTACTATTGCTCTGTAGGACACAGACTATTCCTCTATAGGACATAGACGATTGCTCTACAGGACATAGACTATTGCTCTATAGGACACAGACTATTGCTCTATAAGACACACCAACATTTGGTAGTATAAGACTTCTTAATTTTTGTCACTCTATAAATGTAAAATAGTTTAAGTTTTTTTTTAATTGAATCACCTAATTATATAGAATCCTTTTAAAATTTTTTTTAGACAGGATCTCACTCAGGTTGGAGTGTAGTGGTGCAATCATAGCTCACTGCAGCCTCAACCTCTCTGGGAACAAGAGATCTTCCCACCTCAGCTTCCTGAGTAGCTGGGACCAAGAGTGCAAGCCACCACCAGTGGCCAATTTTTTTATATTTCTTTGTAGAGATGGGGTCTCCCTACATTCCCCAGGCTCGTCTCAAACTCCTAGATTCAAGTGATCCTCCCACCTCAGCCTCCCAAAGTGCAGGGATTACAAGTAGGAGCCACCACGGCCAGCCTACATAGGATTCTTAATAACACTGTTAAACACCACACCCCAAGGACTGTAGCTGATTTAGGAGCACGTGCACTCTGGGATGTGCTTATTTCCCACTGCTTGCTTTGTCAGTAAGTCTGGAAGGCAAGAATGACGAAAAGCAAGGGAGCCCCAGAGCAATCCCAGAGGGGCTGGAATCGGGGAGTGACTGTTCTTAAAGGCAGTCTCTGTCAGAGAGGAATGACTAGCGCTGCTCCATCCCACAGACATCTGATGGGAAGACAGCAGGCTAACGTCAAAGAGCCAGAGGGTCAGGAGGAGCTGGAACTATGTAGAAGCCGCCTCGAGAACCTGCCATCCCAATCCAAAGGACGGCTGCAGCCCAGTCCACATGCGATGACCACTGCTTCTGAGCAGCTTCTGAGTGAGAGTCCCCACTACATCTGAGAATTACACATAAAAGATCCTCACTTTCATGAGATAAACACGTTTCAAAAATCCGACTAGATAAGAGGACTCTGGGAAGATGGTGGCATAGGAAGCACCAGGAACCCATCTCCCTACACACAGGACAACGGTACAGGCAGCATCTGTCCAATGTAAGCATTTTGGAACTCTGGAGTCCACTGAAGGTTTGCAACTTCCAGGTGAAACATAAACTGAAGTTAATCTCGGTCAACTTCAGCTCTGAGCACAGTGGCAGCTGCCCATCTGAGTAGATCACCATTTCTTACATCCCTACCTTCCTGTACAACCTTTAGAACGCATTTCAATTCTTTACACTACCTCAGTAAGTATTAATGTCGTCTTACTTTATCCGTTTCATGGACGAAAACCCAAGTATTAAGAGGTTAAGGGGTTTCCCCAAGGCTACACAGCAGGCCTAATCCTGGTGTCTATCACTATACTGCATCAATTCTAAAACACACATTTTTCATATTTTAACATCAGAAATGCAGATCCATTTTATAATTGATGGCATGTCATAATTTCATCAGCATCTTATTAGATTTGTCTTAGCAACTTATAAAATACCATGTGTCTTACAATCAATAGCATCTTAAATATGCTGAAATATGGTCTTACTTATTTCCCATTGGTTGTGGTGAATATAATCACACATGGGCAAGCCCAGCAAGCAGTAACAAAGGCTGCTTCGCAGACAGAGAAATGGCAGGGACCACATGCCCACCTGGCCCGCCCTTAGAGCCCCATCTGCTCTGACTTGACACACTCTGATTAGCTGCCAAGCCTGCAGGTGACTAAACGTAGTAAAGACCCACAAAGAACCCAAAGAGGCTGGCACACGACAGCACAGAGCAGAGGCAGCTGAGGGCACCAGAGAAAAGCGTGCAAGCAGAGGACTGCCAAGACCATGGTCAGAAGCAGTGGTGCCAAAACCCAGTTCTGGGAGATAGTGAAATAAAAGAATCTGGGGGTAAATGTGAGGACACCAGGTCAAAACACGGGTTCTCTGATTGCAGTACTTCTCAGCATTAGAAAAATCTGAGGGAAAATAACAATTTTACAATGGACGAGTCAGGTTAACCTGCTGACTGTCACTTCTTTCATCTAATCTGATTAATTTCACCTTTGAACCACAACAGCCACCAATGCCATAAAATACTTACTACTCCTTTTGAAAGATAGTTATTGACAAAGTCCTTCCAAGTGATTTCTCTCCCGGATCTCTTGAGCAGGAAGTAAAACATGACTCCACCCCAGAACAGAGAAGTCCAGAGGAAGAACATCCTGAAATCCTTGTCATCCCATGGAAAGTCACCCTGGCCAGAGAAGGAGACAGCTTCTGTGAAGAACTAAATTCCACAATACGATCTATGCTCTGTGAGACACAAAGCCCTCCAACACTACTAATGCCTCCCAACCTTCTCAGGGCCACTATCGTAACCTCAAAATTCACACAATGTATAGCATCAAACCTTCTGGAACCTGGACCACCAGTGAGAATCATCTTTCTTGCCACCTCGTTTTCCACCACCACCACCTCCTCCTCCTCCAGAAGAGCGTGTGGTAGCAGCTGGCTTTGACTCTGTTCCTAAACAAAGAGCACACATAGAAGCACGGCAAGGTTTTGGCTCTCTCAGCAATGTCTTCATGTAAACCGTTTAATACAAGACTTATTGCAGAATACACTGTGGCAAGTGATCAGTTACTGAGCGAAGCACCATGAGAAGGAATACAAATACAAAGCCTACCAATCAGGGAGGCTCCCAAGGGCTATACTTGCATCATCTCATGAAACATGCACAATAACCCAATAACCCAAGAAATTATAGGACTGTTATACCGTTCACAGAGGGAGAAAGAATAGCTTAAGTAACTTGTTGGATAATGGGTGGCAGTGTTAGGGGACAGTGAATAAGTCACATAGTTGGGATGCAAATTCCTCAGTCCTCACTCAAAGTTTAAAAGTGGGTTCTGGCCAGGCATTGTGGCTGACGCCTGTAATACCAGAATTTTGGGGGGCCAAAGCAAGAGAATCCCTTGAGCCCAGGAGTTCAAGACCAGACTGGGCAACAAAGCAAGACCCTGCCTCTGGCCAGATGTGGTGGCTCATGCCTGTAATCCCAGCAATTTGGGAGGCTGAAGCGGGTGGATCACCTGAGGTCGGGAGTTTGAGACCAGCCTGTCTCTACTAAAAATACAAAATTAGCTGGGTGTGGTAGCACATGCCTGTAACCCCAGCTACTAGGGAGGCTGAGGCAGGAGAATCACTTGTACCTGGGAGGTGGAGGTTGCAGTGAGCCAAGATCATGCCATTGCACTTCAGCCAGGGCAACAAGAGTAAAACTTCGTCTCAAAAAAAAAAAAAAAACCCTGCCTCTACAAAAAAAAAAATTTTTAATTATCCAGGCATGGCCAGGCGCGGTGACTCACGCCTGTAATCCCAGCACTTTGGGAGGCTGAGGCGGGTGGATCACCTGAGGTCATGAGTTCAAGACCAGCCTGGCCAACATGGTGAAACCCCATCTCAACCAAAAATACAAAAAAATTAGCTGGGCGTGGTAGCGGGCACCTGTAATCCCAGCTACTTCGGGAGGCTGAGGCATGAGAATCACTTGAACCTAGGAGGCAGAGGTTGCAGTGAGCCGAGATGGTGCCACAGCAATCCAGCCTGGGTGACAAGAGTGAAACTCTGTCTAAAAAAAAAAAGGAAAAAAAAAAATTAGCCAGGCATCATAGTGTGCACCTGTGGTCCCAGCTACACAGGAGGCTGAGGCAGGAGGATCGCTCGAGTCCTACAGTTTGAGCCTGTAGTGAGCTGTGATTGTACCACTGCACTTCAGCCTGGGCAACAGGAAGACCGTATCTCAAAAGCAACAGCAACAACAAAACACAACAAAAGTAAGTACTCCCTTTCCCACTCCCACAAAGTATACATTGTTAACACTTTCTTCTGCAGGAAAGCCCATGGTTTTGACAAATGGCTAAAAAAAACACATCCACAGTTGGTATTCAACTGGCATCTTTGCTTTTTAGGGAAATGTATGTAAGGAAAACTGTAATTCAGTCCCTGTTGTTGTTGCTGTTGTTGTTTTAGATGGAGTCTCACTCTGTCTCCCAGGCTGGAGTACAATGGTGTGATCTCAGCTCACGGCAACCTCTGCCTCCCGCGTTCAAGTGATTCTCAAGCCCCAGCCTCCCGAGTAGCTGGGATTACAGGCGCACACCACCATGCCTGGCTGATTTTTGTATTTTTAGCAGAGATGGGGTTTCACCATGTTGGCCAGGCTGGTCTTCAACTCTTTACCTCAGGTGATCCACCCGCTTCGGCCTCCTAAAGTGCTGGGATTACAGGTGTTGAGCCACCGCACCCGGCCCGAATACACTTCTGATGTCTTCAGTGGCCATGAAGCAACCCCTCTAGTGTAGCAGGATGGGAGGCTACGGGCACCCGGTCATCCTCAGCGGCTGTGTTAACATGTGGCTCATGACACATTCACCCCGATGTGCTGCATACGAGGGGCTTCTGCACCTCTGTCTCAAGCAAAGTCTGAGACAGGTATGACGTACACAAGCCTCAGCCCCCTCAATGAGGCCTAGGACTGGGAAACATGCAGTAAGCACACCACTAAAGCTGTGCAACACTCCAAACCACTCAGGGAGAAAGGAATGTCCACACAAAAGCCACCCGAAAGGTTGTATGGGTTATCATTACTCGGCCCCCACACCAAGACTCAAAGACTACCCAGCATGCACTGGGAGAACTCTAGGTGCTGCTCCAGTGTAGAGCCCCGGGGCTGTCACCAGCCCACACCAGCACTTCTCCCTCCCCATGTCCCGTGGCTCTTACTCCTTTGCATTCTTTGGGCGTGTATCTGTCTCTCTAACTAGATAACAAGCAAATTTAAAAACATGGACTGAGGCCAGGTGCAGTGGTCATACCTGTAATCCTAGCACTTTGGGAGGCTGAGACGGGTGGATCACATGAGGTCAGGAGTTCAAGACCAGCCTGGCCAACATGGCGAAACCCTCTCTCTTAAAGATTAGCTAGGCATGGTGGTGCACGGATGTAATCCCAGCTACTGTGGAGGCTGAGGCAGGAGAATCACTTGAACCCAAGAGGCAGTTGAGATCGTGCCACTGCATTCCAGCCTGGGTGACAGAGTGAGACTCCTTCTAAATAATAAAAAAAAGAACTGAATTACAGTGTTCTTTACATTTCCCTAAAAAGCAAGGATGCCAATCGAAATGGGCACAGGAGGCCCACCCAGTCCCCCAGCCACCGAGCTCTAAGAAAGTCTCTCCGTATCCCTAAGGTGAGGTAATGCTCTGAGGAGCAATTTTGAAAACACTGTCCTACAACACAACATGTATCAAATAAGTTGCATGTATTAGATTTCTAAGATTTTTCTCAATGTTTTAAATTATGTCCCAGGTATCTACTGAATATGCTTAGTTTGACCAGCCAAAACCTCTAAGGTGGCCTTAAATTACTTCAATTTGCAAAATGACAGGAAAATATCAACAGAAAATTAAGGTGAAATGAAACACAGGGTCTGCAGAATTTCATATGTACTTGCAACCTACAGCGCCACAACTGACTTACTATAACTTTTTTTTTTTTTTTTTTTTTTCTGGAGGGTCTCTCTGTTGCCCAGGCTGGAGTGCAGTCGCACAATCACAGCTCACTGCCGGGCTCAGGTGATTCTCCCACCTCAGCCTCCCGAGTAGCTGGGACTACAGGTGTGCACCACCATGTCTAACTAATTTTTTGTATTTTTAGTAGGGACAGAGTTTCACCACATTGTCCAGGCTGGTCTCAACCTCCTGGGCTCAAGTGATCCACCAGCCTAGGCCTCCCAAAGGGCTGGGATTATAGGCGTGAGACACTGCCCAGCCTGATAACTCTTTTCTTTGTTCAGTGGAAACTATCACCATAATACATGAGGGGAAAACACAAAATTAAAATATAATCTTGTCAAAGGTACCTTTTTTCTCTCCCATAACTTCTTTAGGTTCACTAGCTTCTTTTCCATTTTTTCCATTAGGAAAGTATTTTTCAAATCCTGTTAGAAAAGGAAAAAAATACATATCGTCAAACTAAAATTCATCAGGTTTCGTGTCCATTTTGTTTTCAAAGCAGCTGATGTATCATTGAAAAGCACAAGCTGGCCAGGCGTGGTGGCTCAGGCCTGTAATCCCAGCACTTTGGGAGGCTGAGGTGGGCGGATCACCTGAGGTCAGGAGTTCAAGACCAGCCTGCCCAACATGGCAAAACCCCGACTCCACTAAAAATACAAAAAATTAGCCGGGTGTGGTGGTGGGCGCCTGTAATCCCAGCTACTTGGGAGGCTGAGGGAGGAGAATCGCTTGAACCCGGAAGGCGGAGGTTGCAGTGAGCCAAGATCACTCCAGTGCATTCCAACCTGGGCGACAAGAGCGAAACTCAGTCTCAAAAAAAGAAAAAAAAAAAAAAAGCACAAGCTAAAAGCATAACATTTCTTGTGTACAAGTACATCAAAGTCTAAATAATGTAGTTCACAACCCAGAAGTGTTAAAGGAAAAAGCCTCCTTTTTGCACATCAATTTCATTATTTACAAATGTGTTACATTTGAAGATGACATATCTTCATCGCTGTAATCAGACATAAGCTGGAGGCAGGGGAATGGATTACAGAAGGAGACAGAAGACCCAACCTAAGAACGTAGAACACTACAGCCACACCTAAGCACTTACCTTTTGGGGGTCGGGAACAGAATCTTTGATAAGCAGCAATTACATCTGTCAAAAGAGAATTTCTGCTGGCCCTTGTTTGAGTTGTAACAAATCGGTAAAGCTGCAACATGACATAAAAATAAAACCATGGTTATATCAAGATAAAAAATTTAAAAGAGCTTCATTTCCTGGTCATAAAGTAGACTAAAGGTCTCTCTCTTCCACAGGTGGTTATGAAGTAACAGAGAATGACTCCCTTAGTGAGGACTAGCGTTACCTAGCACTAGGCCACTATTCCAGTAAAAGAACCAGGAGACACACATTATTATCCAGAAAACAAGAATATTTCAAAATCAGACATAATGTAGAATTGCAGTCCAATTATAATTATGTGACAACACATTCACTTTGATGATGTTTGTTTAATTTGTAGCATTCAAAAGACAAAACCTGGCCAGGTGCAGTGGCTCACACCTGTAATCCCAGTACACTGGGAGGCCAAGGCGGGTGCATCACAAGCTGAGGAGTTCAAGACCAGCCTGGCCAAGATGGTGAAACCCCGTCTCTACTAAAAATACAAAAATTAGCCGGGCGCAGTGGCAGCCGCCTGTAATCCCAGCTTCTCGAGAGGCTGAGGCAGAAGCATTGCTTGAACCCAGGCGGCAGAGTTTGCAGTGAGCCGAGATCGTACCACCGCACTCTGGCCTGGGTGATGGAGTGAGATTCAATCCAAAAAAATAAAAATAAAGTAATAGTTATAAAAATTACAAAACCAAATAAAACCACATCACACCCACTATAATCAAAAAGACAGACAAGTGTGGGTGAGAATGTGGAGAAACTGGAGCCCTGTACACTGTGCTGGTGAGAACGTAAAATGGTGTAGCCACTTTGGAAAACAGTTTGACAGATCCTCAAAATAGTAAATGTAGAGTTACCATATGACCCAGCAATGCCACCCCTACCCAAGGAAGGTGAAAACACATGTCCACACAAAAATATGCACACGAATGTCCACAGATGCCTTATTCATAACAGTCAAAAAGTAGGAACAACCCAAACGTTCACCACCTGATGATGAACAGATAAATAAAATGTGGTATACCCATACAAGAGAATACCAGTCACTCAGACAGAGGAAAGAGGCACTGACACGGGGATGAACTCTGAAAACATTACATTAAGTGAAAGAAGGCAGACACAAAAGGTCACACATTATGATTCCATTTATATGAAACGTCTAGAATAGGCAAATCCATACAGAGATACATACCAGTAGTTGCCTAGAGCTGGGGGAATGGTTACAGAGAAATGCGAAGTGATTATTAATGGTCATAGGGCTTCTCTTTGGAGTGCTGAAAATTTCTGGAATTGGGGACAGTGATGATGGTTGTATAACTTTGTGAGTATGTTAAAAGCCAATGAACTGTACCTTTAAGATGAAGAACGGTTTGTAAATAAAAATGTCAATAAGAAACAAAACAGAATGAGATGATTTAACTTCAAATAAATACACAATTCTACACAGCAAAGCAGGACAGGAACACCAACAATGATTTTGTCTGAGTGCAATACTGGCCGGGGAGACTTTGGAGCTTATGTTGTGTCCTGCCCAACCACCGGAACACTTGGCCTATGAAATAACCACTGATAACAGATAAGAACGCAACATAAGAGTTTTTTCCAATGTCAAATCCATTAAGTGTGTAGATTAAAATGAAATGTTATTCAAGCTAGACAAGTCAACAACTCCAGCCCAGGTGCTGTCAAGCAGTGGGGTGTCTAAAGGGGAATCAGAACCAGTTCCCACCCCTAAGCAGCACAGAAACAGGGAAGAAACTCATAGGGACAAATCAGTTACACTATGGCATAACAATGTAACCAAACAAAAGCTCTGAATACAGGGAACCGGGGTGGCGCAGAGGTTATATTGCCACGTCTCAGTGTTAGTCCTTTCTGTTTCGCTGTAACACAGTGTCTGAAGCTGGGCAATTTACAAAGGAAGGTTTATTTAGCTCAGAGTTCTGCAAGAGGGGAAGCATGAGAAACAGGGTGCTGGGCTTATGGTGAGGGTCACATGCTAAGTCAAATTACAGCAGAAGGTGCTCCATCAAAACATGGTGGGAGAAGGTCAATGGCAAAGTGGCCACATGCCATGAGGGAGGAACTTCCACTTTATAACAACCTAAGGTCTCTGAAACTAAGCCAGTCTCACCACAGCTCACAGAGCTCACTCACTACCTCCAGAATGGCACCAAGACACTCACGAGGGCTCCGCCCCCACGGCCCAAACACCTCCCACTGGGGCCCACCTCCCAATACCACCACCATGGGGAACACAACCTGAGTTTTGGTGAGGCCAAACTCAAACCAGAGTACCATATAAAGCAAACCTTCATCACCACAAAGTTTAGTACAGAACTGGGCACTGTGCGCACTCCATAAATACCGACTGAGGAGCCTTTTTCAGGCTCTATTTTCAAATTGTGCTGACATGGAATATCCCTAGCAATAATCAGTGACTGAATTTAACACCAAGGTTGTATTCTATGAAGAAATCATCAATGAAACTTCTTCTCCTCTGCATATCTAATCCAAGCTCTGCGTGTCTATCATTCAAGGAATAATGTAAGAGATACTAATTCACAACACTTAAGTTGAGTGCTCCGCATTTTGGAGAATTAGCCTTTATGTCTGACAACACGAGCACTTTTCAGTTGCTTTATCATCAGCCTTATTCCTCTGGGCATAATACCTGAGAACTCATCTCTCAACACATCAGAATCTCTTCCCAAGGAACCTCACCGTGAAAGCAGTACTTCTGTCTCTGATCTTCAACGGTAGCAGGAACAGAAAGGAAAACCTGTCCTGTCAGACTCCCTCACAGCACAATAACGCCCAGGTGTCACCAGGCAGATCTTCAGAGTACCAAAGAGTAGGTATCACCACTGCCCCCGCCTCCCCTCACAAATTAATCAGCTACAGCTGTCAGCACAGAGAACTTCCTTATATATCAGCATCTGAGTGACATTTACAGGGACGATAGTGTCACTCCAAAGGAAGGCCTCTGGGTAACACTTTTGACATAAAACTGCAAGCTCACAACGCAGATCCCTACCTAGAACTGTATGTCTGAGTCCAATATTCACAAGCAGCAAAAGAAAAGGGGTCAGGCTAGGTGGGGGCGGCTCCTAGCACTTTGGGAGGCCAAGTGGATTGCTTGACGCCAGGAGTTTGAGACCAGCCTGGCCAACATGGTGAAATACCATCTTTACTAAAAATACAAAATTTAGCCAGGCATAGTGGCGGGCACCTGTAATCCCAGCTACTCAGGAGGCTGAGGCAGGAGAATCACTTGAACCCTGGAGGCAGAGGTTGCAGTGACCTGAGATCACACCACCGCACTCCAGTCTGGGCGATAGAGAGAGACCCTGTCTCAAAAAAAAAAAAAAGAAGGAAAAGAAGAAAAGGGATCAGAGCTTGGTAAAACAAGGAAATGGATACAATGCAGGAAACTGAAAAAGGACCTACCGCAGGGCAGCGTGGCATGACCAGAGCGAAGAAACTGATCTAAGACTGGCAAGGGAGCCTCAAAGAGTAAAAGTCATGAATGCAGGCACTATTATTCCCCCCTTCCACGCCCTTTTTTTTTTTTTTAAAGACAGGTTCTGTCACCCACGCTGGAGTGCAGTGGTGCAATCACAGCTCACTGGAGCCTCAACCTCCTGCGCCAAGCAACCCGCCTTGGTCCCCCGAGTTGCTGGGACTACAGTCGTGAACCACTGAGCCCAGATAATTTAAGAAAACAAAAATTCGTAGAGGCCAGGAGCTGTGGCTCAGGCCTGTAATGCCAACACTTTAAGGGGACGAGGTGGGAGGATCGCCTGGGTCCTGGAGTTTGAGACCAGCCTGGGCAAGATGATGAACCCCACCTCTCCAGAATTTTTTTTTTTTTTTTGAGATGGAGTCTTGCTCTGTTGCCCAGGCTGGAGTGCAGTGGCCACTCTCAGCTCACTGCAAGCTCCGCCTCCCAGGTTCACACCATTCTCCGGCCTCAGCCTCTCGAGTAGCTGGGACCACAGGCTCCCGCCACCACGTCCGGTTAAATTTTTGTATTTTTAGTAGAGACGGGGTTTCACCGTGTTAGCCAGGATGATCTCCCTCTCCTGGCCTGGTGATCCGCCCGACTCAGCCTCCCAAAGTGCTGGGATTACAGGTGTGAGCCAACGCGCCCGGCCTCTCCAGAAATTTTTAAAAATCAACCATGGTGCCGTAGTCCCAGATACTTGGGAGGCTGAGGCGGGAGGATTGCTTCAGTCTGGGGCTGCAGTGAGCTGTGTTTGTACCATTGCACTTCGGCCTGCGCGACGAAGCAAAAGCCCGTATCTAAAAATAAATAAATAAATAAAAAATTTAAAAAAAATTGTAGATCGGAGGGTCTGCTACACTACCCAGGCTGGTTTCCACCTCCTGGACTCAAGCTTCTCCCGCCTTGGCCTCCCGAAGTGCTGGGATCGCAGGCGTGAGTTCCCGCACCGGCCTATCTCCCCTCACAGTGAAGACGCTGAGCTGACTACCTCAACGGCGCTGGGATAGCAGGCCAAGCCAGGTTCCCTTGGCCGACCCGGGGACCTCAACCACCACCCGTACACCACCTTGAGAATGAGGAACAGTCACCTAAACAGTGAGAGCGATTATTGGACACGTGAACCTTTCCTTGAGGCAGACCACGGCCATGGTTCTGTCCACACACTATCATTATGTCAGCAACATGTATCAGGTCCTGTGTGTGTATCTAGAGGGATGGCTACCAACAGAGGAAGAGCCTCCCGCTGATAGCAGGCTCTAATATGCAACGAACACAGAGTCCCTGCTCCGAAAATGTGACATTCTTAATAATAATAGCTAATTCTGCCAGTCCTGGAATGCCCGCAATGGCCCCATTCAGCAGACGGGAACACGGAGACTTGGAGAGGTTAGGCAGCCTGACTCCAAAACCCGTCCTTGCGACAACATCGTGCTCGTGCTGCTGACTCAAAACTACAGACGCCTTCCTTCCGTGCTCCCGGGACACGAACGCGGGGACAAGGACGGCCACCAAGCCAACATGACCTTCGAGGCTTCAGCCGCCCCGGTGAAGCGCCAAGACCCGGCTCTACTGGAGCTGCGCGTTTTCAAAACTCGAATCCCACCGGCAGGGCTGGGCGCGAACCGGCGCTCAGCGGTCGGCGAAGAGACAGCGCGGGGGGCCGCGGCCCTCGGCAGGGACGGCCCGCGTGGGGCGGCAGGGCGGGGGCCAGTGACCTTGACGCCCGCTCTCCCGAGCCGGAAGTGGGCCCGAGGCCGGGTGGAGGGCGCCGGGCGCCCAGGTAGGACTCACCGTCCGGAGGCAGGGCTGCTCGCCCGGGCCCACGCCGCCAGGCACACGCAGCTGCTGTAGGCCGCGGGGCCAGGAGCCGCCCCAGCCCCACAGCCGCAAACAGCGGTGCGCCATGGCCGCCGCCGTGGCCCTCTCGGCCCGGGACGCTGCGCAGGCGCGGGCAGGCGACCACTGGAGGCCTCGGGAAGCAGGCTCCGCTCGGGGAGAGGCCGCCAGGCAGCGCAGCGCGCCCGCGGCTCACGGCGGAGCCCCAGCTCTCAACGCGGCGTCTCCCGCCGCCAGCCCCGCCCCGGCGCGCTGACGTCGACGTCTTCTCTCCGAAACCGGCCGCGACCTCAGCCGGTGCAGGAGAGCGGTAGGAGCGTGGGGGCGGGACCGGAGGCGGGGGCCGACGAAGCGGCGTTGGGGGCGCGGCTGGAGGCGTGGCCGAAGAAGGACCTTAGAGGGCGAGGGGGAGCTGGAGGCGGAGCCGATGGCGAAGCGGGGACGGAGCCGAGGGCGGACAGGCGAGGGCGAGCGAGAGCTGGGGGCAGGGCCGATGGCGCACGTGGGGGGCGTGGCTGGAGGCGGGGCCAAGGAAGAACCGGGAGGGCGAGCGGGAGCTGCAGGCGAGGCCGACGGAGGAGTGGAGGGCGTGGCTGGAGGCGGGGACTAAGGGGAGACGCGCGCCTGGGATCCTGGGCTCCCGGGCCTGGGCAGCTGGGTGGGCCAGCCAGTTAGGAGCGAGGTGGAAGTAGCGAAGGCTCCAGCGGCGCCAGCTCAGTCGTCGGGTGTTGCTAGGGTCTGGAGACACCGAAGCGCACATTCCTGACCCTGGGAAGGCAATGCGAAGATTCACAAGCAGCAGGGAGTGTTGGGGCCGTGCAGCCTGCGCTCTGGGAACCCTGTCGGGGAACTGGTTCTTGGAGAGCAAGTCGAGTCTTTCAGGTAGTGGAAACTACACATTGTTTCCTGTACCGTGACAGCGGAGGAAAAAAAGAGAGGTCTTTGAACCGAGGTGGGGGATTGGGGGGTTTTCTGAGACGGGCTCTCGCTCTGTCGCCCAGGCTTGCGATGCTGGACCTCAGGCAAAGGACAGTAATCCTTGAGAGACAGGAGACAAACCAGGTGAGTCCTGTGATTACCCCAATGGCAGTAAAACAATAAGAAAAAGAAATACCAGAAACACCATCATACCATGCTCGCACAAAAGAAAACTGAGTAGACAGATTTTAGGGCAAGGAAATTCCAAACAAAATTAATTTCAGGGGAAAGAATATCACTAAGGATGAATAGGATCGGGTTTCTTTTCTTTCCCAGAGACAGGGTCTCACTCGGTCACTTAGGCTGGAATGCCGTGGTGCAATCGTAGCTCACTGCAGCCTCCAACTCCTGGGCTCAAGGGATCCTCCCGCCTCAGCCTCCCAAGTAGCTGGGACCACACGCGCTCGCCACCACACTCGACTTTTTTTATTTTGCGTAGAGATGGAGTCTCACTTTGTTGCTCACGCTAGTCTCAAACTCCTGACTTTAAGCAATCCTCCTGACTTAGCTTCCCAAAGTGCTGGGATTACAGATGTGAGCCACCCACACCTGGCCAAGAGGATTTTTATTATAATAAAGGGGTCAATTCATTAATAGGACATAACAACGTAAACATCTTTGTTCCCATTAACAGAAGCTTAAAATACAGGGAGCAAAGACTGACAGAACAACAACTTCCAATTATATTTGGAGATTTCAAATCCTTCTTTTGATAATTGACAGAACAATTAGACAGGAAAATAGTAAGTATATAAAAGACTTACACACAACCAAAGAAATCGAATTGACATTTATAGAAAACTACTCATAACAACAGAATACACATTATTTTCAAGTTTTCACGGAACACTTATCAAAATAAACCATATTATAGGCCATAAAAATATTAAGAGGAATCAAGTCTTATAAAACATATTTTCTAACCACAATGAAATTAAATTAGAAATCAGTATCAGAAATAGGCTGAGGTGAGAGGATCACTTGAGCCCAAGAGTTCCAGACAAGCCTGGGCAAAACAGAAAGACCTCATCTTCAAAAAAGAAAAAAAGCTAGACTAAGAAAATGAAGTAAAACCAAAGAAGAGAAAGAAGATAAGCGCGGCCGGGCGCGGTGGCTCACGCCTGTAATCCCAGCACTTTGGGAGGCCGAGGCGGGCGGATCACAACGTCAGGAGATCGAGACCGCAGTGAAACCCCGTCTCTACTAAAAATACAAAAAATTAGGCGGGCGTGGTGGCGGGCGCCTTGTAGTCCCAGCTACTCAGGAGGCTGAGGCAGGAGAATGGCGTGAACCCGGGAGGCGGAGCTTGCAGTGAGCTGAGATCAGGCCACCGCACTCCAGCCTGGGCGACAGAGCGAGACTCCATCTCAAAAAAAAAAAAAAAAAAAAGAAGATAAGCGCAAAAATCAATAAAATTAAAAACTAAAAGAGAGAAATGAATGAAATCAAAGGATGTTCTTTGAGAAGATCAATACTC